TCCCGTCCTGCCTCCAAGAACTAGCGTGAATATGGCAGCCCCCTAAGTTTCACTAAGGGGTCTAATTTAAAGGATCCTTCACCCTGTGAATATCTACAAAAGTTTGTGTTGGGCAAATAATGCCAAATACAAATGTTCTTAATATATACACTATATAGCCAAAAGTATTGGGACACCCCTACAAATCATTGGATTCAGGTGTTCCAATCACCTCCATGGCCACAGGTGTATAAGATCAAGCATGCAGACGCTTCTACAGACATTTGTGAAAGAATGGGTCACTCTCAGAAGCTACGTGGATACAAGCGTGGTACCGTGATAGGTTGCCACCTGTGCAATAACTCCATCCGTGACATTTCCTTGCTACTAAATATTCCACGGTCAACTGTTAGTGGTATTATAACAAAGTGGAAGCAACTGAGCCATGAAGTGGAAGGCCATGTAAACTGACAGAGCGGGGTAGCGCATACTGAAGTGCACAGTGTGCAGAAGTCGCCAACTGTCTGCAGAGTCAATAGCTACAGACCTCCAAACTTCGTGTGGCCTTCAGATTGGCACAACAACAGTGCGTAGAGAGCTTCATGGAATGGGTTTCCATGGCCGAGCAGCTGCATCCAATCCTTCACCAAGTGCAATGCAAAGCGTCGGATGCAGTGGTGTAAAGCACGCCGCCACTGGACTCTAGAACTGTATACATTTTCAGTTCAAATGTAATGTCATGTAATACTACATTATGGTCACTAGATGGAGCTAAGGAGCATAGGAAATAAATAATTATAATTATTTCCTATGCTCCTTGCTCCTCAGCTCCATCTAGTGGCTATTATTTAGTATTACATGACAATAATGTCGAATATATTAAGAACGTTACTTTTGTGTATCATTATGATGGACGATGCAGCGGAAACAGTATTTTGTCCACATTTTGTATTTTGACTGAAAATATCAATTGAAAATTTGATCCATAAGTCAATAATACAAACAATCTATTAAAAGATCATTCAAATGATCTGAATTGCAATCCTTTCTCTGACTCACGCCAATCTTTGTTAAGTATTCAGAACAGATCAACAAAATTTCACTATGACCAAACAAATCCAGAGGTCACTACCCAATTGAATTTGATTTGATTTGATTTTTATTCAACTTGATCAGTTTAGTCAGATTGGATGATTGATTGAAAGGTCATATAGATACCTTTGTGGCCACCATTAAAGACTGAGGCTGCATTTACACATAAGCGTGAGCATAGCCAAGTGAATATAGAGGTGTTGTTTTGGCTCATTTTTAGGCACTACTTATAGTACAGGAGCAGCATTGAGTGTTTTGTGCCCCACAGACTTTTAAATGGAAACCCCTGAAGATTAAGTTCTTTTTATTGGTTTTTCAGGTGGTCCCTGAAAGTCTATGAAGCCAAAACGCTCGATTCTGCTTGAAAGGAAGCTCATGTACTTTTCGAGCTACAAATGCCTAGGTGTGAATAGAGCCTTAGGGCTCATTCACATTGGAATCTGCCGACACGTACAGTTCCATGCTGTGTGCACGGCCGTTCCGAGCAGCTCCCGGGAAGGACAGGTGCTGCGTGTGATTAGTACGCAGCCCCCATCCTTCTCTATGGGACTACGCGGCCGTACGCCTGCCTAAGAGGAGGGGGGTCCTGTGCCGGTAGAGGTGGCGGAGAGCGGATCGGGGCTGACAGGTAAGAGGTGTCCAGCCCACCTGAGACCCCACCATAGAGCCTATGGTGGGCTCTGCAGGGTCACTCTCAGGAGAGCTGTTTGGGATTTCAGGTGGGCTCTGCAAGGGACGTAACTAGAAATCACAGGGCCCCATACAAAATTTTGCTATGGGGCCCTGTGATTTCTAGTTACGCCCCTGCGGGAACCTCTCAGTTTGCCTATCAATGCATAGTTTATATTTGTGAATTATGTTCGTTCTATGTAATATTTATTTAATTGTTTGTTTATTTATATTTACAAAACGTTCTACTACTATAAAAAATGGAAGGAAAAAGGCAGCTGCTTTAAATTGGTTTTCTGAAATGTTCTGTCTAGGCAGAGAAATGTCTTTCCCATATTAAATATTAACTTGCTTTGAAGTGCTGCTGGCCTCCCTGAGAATGAGTTATGCACCGCTCAAGTGTTCTGTTTTTCTGCAGTGCATGCTTCATTTGAATGGCCTCTGTCCTTCCTTCCATGCCAAGTTTATCTCCGAGCGAGCTGCTGCGTTCCATGATATCATTCATGTCCGGTGCTGCGCCCGATCAGTTAATTTCTAGGCAATTTACAACTTTTAATCTTGTTTGCTAAAGCTGGACTAGTGGCACTCAAGACAAATAAGAACATAGTAGAGCGAACATCAGGGACAGTTTTCATACTTAGTGCATGCATGCTAAGTAATGTGTAAGGGGTCTAATTATAAACAATTTGCAGAGCCGTTCACCTTGCAGATCTCTGCGATTGTTCGTTCTGTGCGAATGGAACAAACGTTCTTAGTATATTTTCATTACAAGTCGAACGAAGTTTTGAACTCCTTCACAATGTATACCAGTGGCCGTGCTGTATTGCGTGCTGCTGGTTGGATGACATTTAGTTAGCTAAAGCGCTGTGTATAATAAACACAGCGATTCAGTGCTTATGCTCCTCAGCGCCATCCTGTGGCCATAATGTGGTATTACATTCAAAGCTACTATAGATTTGTAAAGGAAATGTATCTGCCAGTCTTTGGATTGTGGAAGGAAACCAGAGTACCTGGAGGAAATCTACACAAGCATTGGAAGAATATGCAATCTCTACGCCAATGATGTCCTGACCGGGATTTAAACCCATTGCTGCAAGGCACTAAGCCGCTGTGTTTATTATACACCGCACTGTAGCTAACTAAATGCCATTCAACCAGCAGCACGCATTACAGAGTGGCCGCTGGTGTGCTGTGGTGTGATGTGCGTTGCAACCCGCTGCGCTGAAAAATAGCACAGCATGCCCTATTCACACATAATAAGGCGATACTAATAGGACATAAGGCAAAATGCTTTGTCTATTTATCGGGACTACGTTGCGCAAGCCTTCCAGCGCAGCCGAATGCATATGGCATAAACGGGCCCTTAGGGCAGGTTCACACCATTTGGTCCGGAAAATGGTGTCAACCTGCCCCCAGTTCCAGTGCATTCCAGACCAGACAAAATAGGACAAGCAGTATTTTTCTGGTCTGGTCTGGAACGGATTGCGATGGTGTGAACAGAGGCCAGAAATAACATAGGGATACATTAGGATGCATTTTGGGTCCGGAAACAATCTGGTCTGGTCTGGAGATGATCCGGACATGATGTGAATGGGCCCTCAGGGTTTACATATACTGTAAAATGAAGTAGTGTTAAAGTGACATTAAACCCTCAGATTTTTTAACATGAAACAATACTGTAATGGTAATGTGTGCCTTACTGTAATCCATGGTAGTTTCCCTTCTCTTTGCTGCTCTTCCTTTTAAATCCTCATGTCTTCTCATGCTTGGGGAGAACTTACCTTTTCAGCTCAGGGCCTCTTCCTGTAGTGCTGGTTTAGGTTTCAAGCCTATACAAAGTTATACACAGACACCGTGTATCCATTTCAGAGACAAGGCAGTCTGCTGCAAAACAGAAGTTCTGCCCAGCATGAGAACAGATACAAATTTAAAAGGAAGAACAGCAAAGAGAAGGGAAACAACCATGGATTATAGTAAGGCGCACATTACAGTATTGTTTTATGTTAAAAAATCTGAGTGTTTAATGTCACTTTAAAATAAGGCAAATGATGCATGCACACTCATTTTTTTTTGGTGGGGGCAAGGGGTAAAAAGGTACCATGGAGCATTTTTTATTATACTATGGCTCTGCTCTCCCTGGTCTGTATAAAACACCATTGTGTTTTCATTGACCATCTAAATATAAATTGTCAGTTGAAAAATAACTGGCTGCATTCTAACAGGCTGACACTTACCCCGTCCTGCTCACTATCATGGAGCCGCAGTGATAAGACGGTCCAGCACCATGTAGGGACTGAGTCCTTGATAAGCTGAGCTCAGCTAAGCAGACATCAGTCATTACAGAACCCCATTGTCCCAGCCGGCAGCACAGGGCAGCGCCTCTATTCCGCCGCTTTATCCTGCAGATATCTCTATTCATTACTCAATCTATAGAGATGAAAATCCCAATCATTATCGACTCTGCGGCGGAAGACAGCGACAGCGAGGAAAGGGTAATTGTCTGACTTCTCCTGGATGTTATTCCCTTCATTAATGGTAAAAGTAATCTTCCATTTTGTTTACTTTTGCAGTTCTTCCCCAAGCCCGTCCTAGAAAACAGAAATGTGGAATTTGCGAAGAAGTGCACCGAACTGATCAGTGACGTGAGTAGAAGGCATTTTCTTTTTTTTAAGAGCCTCATATGAAAGCAAAAACCTTGATTACAGTCCCTGACTCTTCCTGACCCAAATCTCCAGCTCGCATTTCTCTACAGCTGTCCCTAATTTAGCTCTGATGTATAGAGCGTTATGTAAAAATGCTGCCGGAAAAGGAAATTAGTCTTTTTAATGTCTCTTTTTTATATATATAAATACATGTAAAAGTGATCTGCATTATGTAAAAATACTTTATGGTAATCTATTTGTGTATTAAGAACTAAGTTTGTGATTTTATATGCACATGGGAGACGCCATCTCTACTCATCACAAAAGCAGATTCTAAATCCCGTTTTGTAGTGCCACACAGTGGCTGTGCTTTAGGCCTCATTCACATTGGAATCGGCCGGCACGTACAGCTCCATGCTGCGTGCACGGCCGTATCGGGCAGCTCCCGGGTAGGACAGGTGCTGTGTGTGATCAGTACGCAGCCCCCGTCCTTCTCTATGGGACTACGCCGCCATATGCCCCGCCTACGCTCACCTTAAGTGCAGGTCCGTAGGGGTGCGTGTTTACTGGCTCAGACGCACACAGGATCCATCCTGTCAGCATACGAGTACCCGCACCCGCACAGACGTGCAGTTTGGGTGAGCGTAGGCGGGCGTACGGCCGCGTAGTCCCATAGAGATTAATCACACGCAGCACCTGTCCTTCCTGGGAGCTGCCCGATACGGCCCTGCACGGAGCTATACGTGCCGGCCGATTCCAGTGTGAATTAGCCATTACTGTTCGTCCCCATCTAATAGTAGACCCCTGATGTCTCCAAACAGAGGACCTGTCGCATCATTTATGTTATTACATAGGGGGCTTATTAGCTCTCTATGTGATAGCAATCAAGTTAAGTATATATATAAAAAAAAAATTGGGTTCGCCCACGTGCGAAAAACGACGATTCCACCACACGTTACATATCAATGCGAATGTTGGAGTGAGAGCAATCATTCTACGGCTATTGATCACTGTTAACACTAAACTGATGAGCAGTAAAAGCTTTTAAAGCATTGCCTATGGGCAATTTTGTGTATTGCAGTTTTTGCCATTTCACAGACGCACACAATTTTAAGGCTTGACATGTTAGGTATTTATTCACCCAGTACCAAACCCCCCATATTTAACCAACAAATTGGGTATTATGTTCTGTTTGTGTTCATTTAAATATATTTTTTTAATAAAAATATTGGTTTGATAAACATTTGCACAAATATTCTGTGACAAAAAAAATGCAACTAGCATTTTTTTTATTCTACAGGGTTTCTGCTTCTGGAAAAGATATATTTGTTTTGGGGTTTTAAGCTATTTTTTTTAGCCAAAAATTCAGATTTGATCATATGTGCAAAATTAAGAATTTGCTGCAGACGGCAAGTGGTTAAAAATCATTGTATTGCTGAATAACTGCTGAAATAAAACCAGTTATGAAATAAGCTCTAACAACGTATTGTGTTCCGTAAACCTTTGTGGGTATGAACTGACCCATAGACATATGGGGAAGGAGGAAGTCACAATCTTTGCTCTGTATTCCTTAGAAGAAAACACAGCCATTTGGACTGGAAATTCATCCATTAAGTAATAATGTAAGCACAGGGAACAGAAGATGAAACCTGCAGTTTATGTACATCCCTAGGATGACTTTCAGCCTGTGTGTAGATGGCGTATATCAGATACTGTATGCAAAGCTGGATGCAGAGTGCGCAGTGCACAATAGGCATAGGATTCTAATAAACTATCAGCTCCCATCTTCCCTTGTGAACTCCCCCCTCTAGTGGTCAGTAATGGAGTTGCATTCAGTTCAACCTATTGCTGAACATAGCATTTCTTATGAACCCTTTGGTGACCAGGCACCATTGATGTCTAGATGCCCAGGCTACATTTAGCAACATCAGTTAACTTGACAATAGTGATGACTAATTTGCCTCCCTAAAATAATATTACTTTTTAATTGGAACCAAAGTCAACTTTTTTTTAAAAACTAATTTTGGATAGAGTGGAGAGGGATTAAAATACCGGTCAGGCTTTTATTGCGGTCCCCTTTAGGGAGATTAATCCATTCTATGTGTCCTGGTGAACATTATCACTGAAAGCAAAAAAAAATCATAAATTGTGGGTTGTCACCAAAAGTGGAATAAATGTAAAATGGGATGATTACAGACACATAGAGGTTTAATGTCAGGTGTGCAATGACGTTTGGCCAAATAGTGTATCGACTGTTCTTTCACAAAACACAATGGCTCAGTGGTTTGCACATCTACTGTACTGCACTGAGGGTCCAGTTTTGAATCCAGGTTCGGCCAGGACACTGTCTGCATGGAGTTTGCATGTACTCCTTGTGCCTGCCCTGGTTTCCTCCCACAATCCACAGACATGAAGATAGGTTAAAGTAGTATTAAAACTTTTAAACATTTTTTAAAATAATGAATCCAGCAGATAAAACAAATATACATTGCCCAACAAAGCGTTTCATGACATTTTTGCCCAAACACATACAGTCATCATGGTTCGGAACAGCTCCAACTCTCTCAGCTCCGCTTCTCTGAACCTCCTGTCCAGTACAAGATCACAAGGGACCGCACAGTCTGCAGAATTTCTCCCTTCTAGTGTGAAGAAGGGAAGAGGGAGGGGAATGAAGGAGGAGTGGGGAGCATGGGTGCACTTTCCCTGTGTATTTGTGGAGACACACACAGCTTACTAGCACACACAAGGGTGGCACCATAGGACCCTGCTAGGAAAAGGAGTCACCCTAAAACAGGATATCAGGGCCAGTGCTCAGGTGGACCAGCTGATTTTGCAGGAAACTAAAACGTTTAAACATAAAGAAGCAGCAATAATTGTATGTGATTTCATTGCTTGCAGCATTTTTGCAGATCTCACGGAACGTAGGCACTGATGTGCCACACGTTCTGATGCTGGGCGATCGCACTGTGAGCAGGGGGACGTGGCTCCTGTGCCATTGACCTCAGCGCACCGTCACGCCCCTTCCTGTTTATGGTGTGAACCGGCCCTGAGGGCAGGGACTGATGTCAATAATTAGTATGTATAAAGCACTGTGTAAATTGATGGTGCTGTAATAATATATGTAATGACTAATAATAATTACAACCGATTTCAGGCTCACTGCTAAAAATGACCGCGTCTTTCTTTTATAGATAAGCTATAAAGAGAAACATAAAAAATCCAAAGGCAAGAATGAGTTTGTCCCTGACACCGCAAAACTGAAAGCCGTCACAGACTCCATCTCAGAGGTATGTCAAGCTCTGTTCATTTGCATGAATGCTCGCCCTTCAGCTTAACCCCCTGTGTGCAACATTGGCTGAAAGCTCTGGTATTTGTGTGTCTGAAGTGGAAAGAAATGGGTAAAACATCTATCCAGTTGGCTATGTCCCTACTGGGGATATTTACATTCTCTACCGGTTTTAGTAAAGCGCTATGTCGCTGTGTCGGTGCTATATATATGCCTTTAATAAATAAATACAGTACATACAAGGCACAGTTTTGTAGTCATCAGAGAACAATGTACCTGATAGTAGTCACCACAGGATGCTATCAACTGACAAGATTTCTGGCAGGATCAACAGGTATTTGTTTGCATTTATCAAACAGATATAACAAAACACTATTGAAGTGTTTATTAAACAGACCATGATACATTAGTTACTTGCATTTACAAATGCTTTTAAGGGCATCTGTAGTAAAAAAAAAAAATGTGTATTTCTATATTGAATTTGCAGGGCCCTTCATGCTGTGAATATCTGTGAACTCGCATTTTGTGCGAATAATGGAGAACACAAACTTTCTTCACATATTTTCTTTTCAGGTGGAATGTATTGTATTGTAATGTAATACTGCCTTATGGCCACTAGATGGAGCAGAGGAGCGGAGGAAATAAGTATTAACTTCCTCTGCTCCTCAGCTCCATCTAGTGACCATAATGCGCTATTATATCAAACACAACTGACCTAAAAAGAAAATATATTAAGAACATTCCGTTTTGCCATTGTTTATAAATAGACCCTTTGTAGTGGCTGATTTACTAAAGGAGGCTGTTCACTGTGCTAAATCAATGCTGGTGAATATGATTAAAGCTGAACTCCAGGAAAACACTTTAATTTACATCCTGTTCTAGTTATGTACGTTATCACTAATAATGTGTGCAATATGTGGAGGACTGTTGTATAGCATAAAATCATATGTTGCAGTATGCCAGATCCAGTACAAAGCGCTGGGCTTCTGAGTGGTGTGGGGGAGTGGGATGCAGCTACAGTAGGGCTTAAGTCACATCCCCGCCCCCTCCTCTCTCCTCTTCCTTTCACAAAAAGCCTTGTATTTTTTTTACAGAATACAAGGCATTCTGTGATTGGAGGATCAGAGATCATGTTGTATCCCTTCCCGCTCTGCTCATCCTATATTAACAAAAAGACTTGTATTTTTCCCACAGAATACAGGTTCTTTTATGATTGGAGGATAAGAGATCATGTCACATTCCCACCCCCTCCACCCATCCTCTATTAACAAAAAGATTTGAATTCTTCTCACAGTATACAAGGCATTTTATGATTGTAGGATGAGAGCTCATGTCACTTCTCCGCCCCTCCTCTCTCCTCTTCCATTCACAAAATGCCTTGTATTTTTCTCATCGAATACAAGGTGCTCTGTGATTGGAGGATAAGAGATCATGTTGCATCCCCACCCCTCCTCTCTCCTCCTCCATTCTCACAGAATGCAAGACGTTCTGTAATTGGAGGATAAGAGATCATGTCACATCCCCACCCCTCCTCTCTCTTCCTCCATTCACAAAGAGCCTTGTATTTTTCTTACGGTATACAAGGCGTTCTGTATTTGGAGGATAAGAGATCATGTCACATCCCCACCCCTCCTGTCTCTTCCTCCATTCACAAAGAGCCTTGTATTTTTCTCACGGTATACAAGGCGTTCTGTATTTGGAGGATAAGAGATCATGTCACATCCCCCCCCCTCCTGTCTCTTCCTCCATTCACAAAGAGCCTTGCATTTTTCTCACGGTATACACGGCATTCTGTATTTGGAGGATAAGAGATCATGTCACATCCCCACCCCTCCTCTCTCTTCCTCCATTCACAAAGAACCTTGTATTCTTCTCACAGAATACAAGCCGTTCTGTGATTGGAGGATAACTTATTGTGTCGCATCCCAGCCACCTCCTATCGCCCTCCACTCACAGAGTGCCTTGTATTCTGTGAACATTTGCTAGGTGAACAGCCACTACTCCTGTCGCAAATCAACCCAATTGCAGGATAAAATAAATTCAAGTCCTGCAGATGTCTTTGCACAAAACCCTTCATCAGGGCTTACTTGACTGGAAGTTGTCTATGTTTGCATTATACCTTTCCTTGCTATTACTTACATACATATCACCAAGGATCATATGGAGCTTTTCTCTTATAAGCCGGCTTGTATTTTAAATCTATTGGCTCTTTCAGAACTACATTGACAGCTTCATTGAAGTGATTGCGCAGAGTCACGTATATATTTGCCCCAATAAATCAGTCAATTGTTTCTTAGTGATACAGAGGAATAAAAGCCAAGTCCCCACAGCTGCATACATGCTTGTCTGCTAATGTTCCACCTTATAAAATATCCATTACAATATGTCCTCGAGTATAATAGTCTTATTTGTGCCACAAACAAAGGAGAAATGTGTAACTTGTAGCGTGTGTGATTCATTCCGTATCTGCAACGTAAATTTTGTCTGTCACTAAGATGCCTTGTGTTACTAAGAGGTTTGTATTTCATGATATGATCAAATCAATAAAAAAGCTTAATTTGCTGAGCAGGTGCAGCTGTGCGTCAAGGAAACAAATTATATATTGGATCTAATAAAAATTATGATGCTGTTGACATATATTTTAGAGTCAGCTGTCCATGGAAAATGTAGACTAGGCCACACACACCGGACAATGGTGGCCATATGAGCGGCACATAATTCTGATTTATGCTGAACAACTGCTGGTCGTTTTAGTAATAGCACCGATGCGTTCAGAATTTGAACACTATCTCTTGCAGAGTCGAGTAATTGATTTTAAGGCGCGATGATGGTGGGCAGGGATCATTATATTACTTACTATATGCTGGTTGATGACAGCAATATGAAACTTAAAGAGAACATGTTCAGCTTTTTTATTGCCTAAGTACTGGTCATAGGTAACCTTTCATCAGACAGTGTGTATCCAAGCGTGGACTTCCAGACCCTCACAGATGTGCAGGTTAGGGTGTGCGTAATTGTGTTCACCATGTCCTCCCTTAGGGAAGAACAGGCTGCTGTGCACAATTACACGCAGCACTGTCCCTTCCAAGATCGGGTCTTACAGGTGTGCATGCTGTACAGATGTGTACGCCTGTCTGAATGTGGCACATGCTGGCCATTAAATAGCTTTTCCAGACCAGCAATCGCAGGATCTGGCAGGGAAGGCTTCCAGCTCCGGCCTCCTTTTGAGTCGCTGTTGCCTAATGCCATGAGCCACAAAGGAGGCTGATGATGGAAGTTGTGAAAAGGTGTGCCACAATAAACCATGTCCTTTAGGATGACTCTTTGGCCATGCCCACCAATCACTGTAGCACATCAGACACAGCCATGGCACTTTTGAATAGTACATATGATTCCCTGCAGAAAAGGTTCTCAGTCCTCCCTTGCATACGGGTCCTCAGTTCTCCCCTGCATAAGGGTTCTCTGTTCTCCCCTGCTTAAAGGTTCTCAGTGCTGCCCTGCATAAGGGTCCTCAGTCCTCCCATGTATAAAGGTTCTCAGTCCTCCCCTGCATAAAGGTTCTCAGTCCTCCCCTGCATAAAGGTTCTCAGTCCTCCCCTGCATAAAGGTCCTCAGTCCTCACCTGCATAAAGGTTCTCAGTCCCCCCTGCATAAAGGTTCTCATTCTTTCCCTGCAGAAAAGGTTCTCAGTCCTCCCTTGCATAAGGGTCCTCAGTCCTCCCTTGCATAAAGGTCTTCCGTCCTCCCCTGCCTAAAGGTCCTCAGTCCTCCCTTGTATAAAGGTTCTCAGTCCTCCCCTACATAAAGGTTTGTCAGTCCCCCCTGCATAAAGGTTCTCAGTCCCCCCTGCATAAAGGTTCTCAGTCCCCCCTGCATAAAGGTTCTCAGTCCCCCCTGAATAAAGGTGAGGAGTGGAGCCTTTTTAAGTTGCTTAAAAAGAATACCCAACCTATGAATCTGTCAGAAAGCTGCTTTGTGTGGTTTTTTGATTACAGACGAGTCAACTATACTGCAATGCTCCTTTACCATACAGTCATGATGTCCAAAAAAACATCTTCTGGTGGCAAAAAAATGATCTAGATAGAATTAGTGCTTTGCGGAGTTCTGCTTTAATAGCGAGATGAGTTTTGTGTAATGTGGGGTTTACGTTTATTATACCAGAAAACAATGTCATGCATGAACAAGGCTTTTTATTTCATTTTCTTGCTGTTCCTTAGTCACAGTCTCATTTAATGTAGCATGTCCAAATCATCTGCCTTCCCGTTATACAGCAAACAGACTTTCATTATGTGTTTGACAATATTTTCTATCTTAGTTACATATTGCTTGTGGTCTTGTTACAGGAGTTCAATATCACTGCTTGTGCTTTATAAGGAGATGAGCTTTAAGGACAATATGTACTATGGACTATATGTACAAGTAAAAAATAATTTGTTTTGCTTGTAGAATAGGAACTGGTCTGAGGATTACTTTGGAACCATTTGTTTGAATGTGAATTGCAATATATGCAAACCAGAAATTCCTGCTTTTAACCACTTAAAGGCCATAGTGTTTCACCCCCTTCCTGGCCAGGCCATTTTTCAGTATTCAGTGCTGCGGTACTTTGACTGATGTTTATTCTGTCATGCAACACTTTACTGAAACGATTTTCATACCATTTTTTGGGGACAGATAGAGCTTTCTTTTGGTGGTTTTTATTCACCAATGGGGTTTTTATTTTTTACTATATAACAAAAAAAGTACCATACATTTTGAAAAAAAACATGTTTCCCTATAAAATTTTATTAAACATTTATTTTTACCCCAATTTTTTGGTACAATATAAAAGACGGGGTCACGTCGGGTAAATAGACACTAAACATGTCAACCTTTAAAATTGCGCACGCCCGCGAAATCGCAGAAAACTACCGCAGCCAAAATTGGCCATAGGCGAAGAAAAAAGGGCCTCAGTCATGAAGGGGTTAAAGTGTATGCAAACCCTACTAATGAACTTCCCTTATTTTTTTCCTTTGGTCTGCTTAATACACAATAGAAAACTCTTTGTTTAATAAGTGCAAACATAAATGTTTGCCCAGGGCCCAATCAATATTAAAGACGGCCCTAGTTCCCAGTAGACATGTGCGATTCGTTTCGTTACGAATCGAAATTCGTACAAATTTTCCTGAAATTCATAAATTCGGAAGCATCCGAAAATCCGAATTGCAGTTTCCGAATTATATCCGAAATACGAAATTCCGTTAACGAATTTCGTATCCGAATTTCTTTGAAACGGGAACTAATATTACCCCTGTAAATGAGGTTGAACAACATGACAAGATTTTTTTTTTCAATCCGAAATACGGATCCGCAGGAAATACGAAATTCCGTTACGAACATTCGTTATATTGAAGTTAAAAAGCAAAATACCTTGCCTTGTTAATATATTGGAGTTGATGGTAGTTTTTTTTTAATCCGAAATTCAGATCCGGAATCCGTTAACGGAATTCGTATTTCGTTTGGTAGACCAATCAGAGGTTTTCTCTTCTGCTGCTGAGAGTTGCATTACAATGAATACAGGCAGGAAATACGAAATTCCATTAACGGAATTTCGTTCCGTTACGAACATTCGTTATATTGAAGTTAAAAAGCAAAATACCTTTGTTAATATTGGAGTTGATTCGTTTTTTTTAAATCCAAAATACGAAATTCGGATCCGGAATCCGTTAACGGAATTCGTATTTCGGATAAAAAAAAACAACTACCACATTGACTCCAATATTAACAAAGGGTATTTTTGCTTTTTAACTTCATCATAACGAATGTTCGTAAAGTTACAAAAATGTGCCGAAACTAACGAAAATCCGTATTTCGTACGAATCCGAATTCTGAAATATTCGGATATTCCGAAACGAAACAAAACGATTTTTTTGACGGCGCACAAGTCTAGTTCCCAGCTATCTAGCTATCTCACAAAACACTTCCTTCCTATGTTTTGAGTGTTCTAGGGTGACAATGCTGTTCCTCAATAGATGCAGTACAGCGAGTGAGCGTTGTCTCCCTAGGACAGGAAATATGTTACTGTCAGGATCACCAGGTGACAATAAAGTAAAGCCAGAAAAACATGAATGCAGCCAGCACATCTAAGGTCTGGAAAGCGGCAACATATTACACTTTGGGGGGTTATTCACGTATTTCTCTTCGGCCGCCAGAGCCCTTCAGTTCAGTCGAACTGAAGGGTTGTTATTCACTATAGCCTGTACAGCAGCCAAAGGCAGCCGAGCAGCTCAGCCGAACCGAAGGCAAATGCGTCAGCTTGACTGAGCCGAGGTGAAAGCCGAAGCGGGGGGAACGGCCTGTCGAAGGCCGGCCTTTCGCCCCCCAAATGACAGCTGGGCGGAGCCAGCCATGATCTCACGGCTGGCTCCGCCCAGTTGTAATGACAGATAAGCGTCCCCAAATTACATTGATATCACTGCTAGTTCTGCCCAATCGTTTTTTTTCTTTTTAAAAAAATCTTTATTTATTTTTTAATTGAACTATTTATATATATTTGTAAAACAATTTTAACCTCTAAAAAAAATCTATTTTCACTATTTGCTATTCTGCTCGGTACCCCGGAGGTACCGAGCAGAATAGCCGAGCCAAATGCCGCTCGGAGGCATTCGGCTATTCACTCACTGCCGTTCGGCCCCTATGTGACTAGGGGAGAACGGCAGCCAGTGAGCTGCCGGAGTTTCGGCTCAGCTGATCCAGATGTTGGATCGGCTGAGTCGAAGTCCTTCTGCAGAGCATGTTTGGCTGACTGAAGTGCAGCCGAAGTACGGCTGATTTCAGCCGATGTACAGGTGAAATCAGGCGTACTGAGCCGCAGTGAATAGCCGAACGTTGTTCGGCTCACTTCACTTCGGCTGGGTTAATCACTCGGCTGCCTTTGGCAGTTTTGTGAATAACACCCTTTGGTCTTTATAGGCTTAGATACAATTTCATGCAAAATTTGCTAGAAGTGCTTTAGGCTTTGTAGTAGTGTTCAGAGGGCAAACTAACAATCATATCAATACACAAGGTACCTAAATGCTTGCTCAACAATTGACTGATGTGCAGTGTTCATCTCTTTCAGTCTAAATCTTTGCAGCTTCTGTAAAATCTCACCATTCATTTTTTTACCCCACCAAGGCAAAGTACAAAGAAGCTGGAAAGAAAGGATTGTCCAACCCCCTGTACAAGCAGATGCCGGCAACATTAGACATTGCCTTCGCAAAACAAGTCTCCCAGCTTCAGAGTGAGGTACTGTACCGTCAACACAATATGTTTACTGTTCTAAAACATACATTTACACTGGCTGGGCAAAGTGACAGTGTATCTTTAAAGCAAGGTTAAAAGACTTCATGAGATAGACGCACAAATGAGTTGATTTATAAAAATATAGCAGGGCAGTTTGCCCTGAAAATATCTGTAAATGTTCACCTTGTGTGAATATATGCACTAATGAATGCTCTTCAATTTTTCCTTTTCAAGTGTAATTAAATTCCAATGGCCACTAGATAGAACTGGGGAGCATAGAAAACAATACCAATTTCATAGGCTCCTTTAGCACCATCTAGTGGCCACAATGTGATGTTACAATCAGAACATTCAAATTTGAAAGAGAACTATGGGGTAAGTGTTTTTCCCCATAGTTCTCTTTAGGGTCACGGGAGGACATATACTAAGCTCCTCCCATGAACCAAAGCTCAGTATATAGCGAGCTATTGCCCACGATATACTGAAATCACCACAGCCGGGACGGATCTCGACAATACTAATCTGGTTCCACCCAGCTGAGTGAGAGACAGCGGGCTCTGCCTATCTATAGGCAGAGCCAGCTGTACCCACCCCCTCACCATCCGTTCCTCCACTCAGCGCTGGAGGATCGGAGAGGACAAAGAGGGAGGAATCCCTGCAGGGAGCGGTGACTGACAGTTACCGCTCACTGCAGGGAGATGATCGGGAAGTGAGCAGATCGGTGCATGTTTCCGCTCACTTCCCGATCGATAGAGCAGAACTGTGACAGCTTCTTTGTCACAGGTCGGCTCTCACTATGAGGATAAGTGAAAATCAAAACACAGAGAGCGCCTCCATTGCGTAAAAACTTTTTAAAAAGTTTCCTGGACTTTAGCCACTGGCGCTGTGTTATAAATTGTCTGGTATAAGTGAAAATCACTCACTTCATAGTTCTCCTTTAATTACACTTGTAAAGGAAAAAAACTAAGAACCTTTCTTTTGTGCATGACTTCACACAGGACGATCATTCATAGATGTTTGCGGGGCAAACAAATTATTTATAAGTTGACCCAATAGCGCTATAGAAAGGTTCACATTTTTTCACATGCCTTGCTCATGTGATCAAAATCCAAGGCATTTAATCATGTGATTTCTGCTGAAGAAGGAGCCCCAGCCAATCTGGACTGTGATTCTCCTACTCAACATGGCTCACATGACGGAATGCCTATGATTTGGTCATTAACCTGCACCAGGGTGAGCCCAGCAATTTGCCTACAAAAGGTATTTCATCTTTATATTATTTTTTATTTGTCGATCCGGGCAAGGCTGTTTTTATATATTTAAAGTGTCTTTCCACTTTTGCGGATGACAAATTGGCATAACGCCTACTTTATATTTGTTCTCATTCACATAACATACATAAAAAAAAATATAAAACATGCTGCTTGCATTTTGTAAGTCGTACTTACCTAAAATCCTACCTTTCTTTTCCCCTGTATAGTGTTAAGGAGGAGGCTGTGGAGTTATTGGTTACCATAATTAACCCTGTGTATACTGTGCTGGCAGATACCTATCACTTGTAAACTAGATTTGAACAGTCTGTCCTAACAAAGGGTTAAAAAAATGTTAGGCTTGGATTCTGCATTGTATGTCAGAGTAGCCTGCAGTCCTGTGTACAATCCTGCCACAAAGAAACAACCAGAAAGGTAATAAATATTTTTTTAAACATAGTTTTTCAGTATGCTGCGTGGATGGGAACACATCACAAACATACGGAGGGGTTTTCTAAAATACACTTTAAGATAAGATTGGGGTACAGGGCTGCTGTAACAAAATGTAAATACATGATCCATTTTCCTGGTGGAATGTTGACTTTTATTTTCCTTGTTGGCTAACAAGTCAAGTGGCAAAAGCAAACACTGGCAGACACCTTGCGGGGCCAGTTGGCGGAATGTGGCTCGGCTCTTGGCCACAGAGGAATCTTTGTTCCGGAAAAGCAGCGTGCTGTACCCCTGCCAAGTTTCTCGGGTAACACCCAAATAAACAAGTCTTTAAATGATTAATAAATACTGGCTTTATGTCATAAGCTAAAATCCCCCTCCCCCTCCCCCAGTGACCATTCAAAACGCCATTACAAAATAATATTTTTAAGAGCCTTTCAATTAAACTTTAAGTGTTTGTTGGATTTTTATAATTTGGGGAGGAAAGATCATTAATTAGGGCCAATGAGGTTTTATAGAAGTGTCTAGGATTTATGTTTGCAGTCAGCTTAGAGCAAGAGTTTTATTTCGTTTCATTAAGGTGGTCCTGGAAATAACAGTGTGGCAGAAAAGAATCTCGTCTTTAACACTTTCATGGCCAGGGGTCATTGAAGACTAGATGCCCAGGCCAAATTTGGCAGCATTAGCATGATTTCCCCATGGAACATTCTTCTGTGTCTGTAGGATGGCTGCGTCCTCACTGTGGTTCCATGCTTTGGCCCCTACATAACAATGGGCCAGTGGATAGAACCACATGGTGATGGAAGAGCCATAGGCATCCAACCCTACTGGAATGGTGTCGGGTGTAACAATTCTGTTGGTGGCTTTGCTCTACAAGAATTCCCAAGGTGCATTGAATTTATTATAGAAGTGCTTACAGGCACCTTTTGATACTTGGTCTTCAGTATAATAAAATGTATGTAAACTGTAACAATGGCCTTCTATATGCTCCTTTTTGGATTAGCGTTTGCTAAAAAAGTGCAAAAAATGCCTGTTGAGCCTGCCAGAAATCCAGTGACCTGATGACTTCCTGCATAGTCTTATGTGCTCTTATCAGTAAGCATTGTTCCCAGTGTGGACTACAGAGCAGCTCTCCATCCCGCTACCTTCCATAACATAGGGAGGAGGTGTTCTGCAGCCTGTAGAGAATAATCCTTACTGATAAGAATGCAGAAGAATCCAAGGACGTAGTTCTAATTTGCTTCCATTCCTAGGGTGACAACCTTTTGCTCTATGGACACACAGTATAGTGTGTGAGTGTAGTCATCCTAGGATAGGAAGTGTACTACTGGCAGGAATGTCAGGTGAAAATGAAGGTAAAAAGCCTGAAAAAAGAAAACAAATGAAGCCATATAATTTAGGGACTGGTAAGCGGGAATATATTACATTTTTGTTCTTAGATATGCATTAACTGAATCTGGGCACAAAAACATTCATTTAAATATTTAAATATTTTTCTAAATAGCCAAAAAAGGATATAAATTCACTTTGGGTGCACTAAATGCCATAGCAAACCAAAATATAACCATGTAAGAGTAGCAGTGGCATCATGACTGTGCTGTACTGTGCAGTCCCACCCATTACAGGCTGCATGCTGAAAACTACAGAAAGGGGCGGAGACAAGACCAGTCAGCATGCACAAGAAGAAAGAGCAGCAGTGACCGGTCTTTGTTAGAAAAAGCTCCAAGTCTCCCACTTGATTACTACATAGATCTGGAAGAAATACACAAAGCTCACCAAGATTCAAGTCAGAATACACATGCCTCTTATATTTAGACAGTATTTGCTCATGCCGAAGTTTAGATTTAATATTTATTAAACTTACTATCTATCTTACGCTCAACTGACTGCCTTAGAATTGTCCTAATGTGAAGTTTCAAAGTGCTTGGGCTCAGGAATTTTGAATGGTTCTCAGTACCCAAAAGACGATCCCAGAATCCTCAGGAAGAAACCCAAAGGGATCTTATGCTGTATTCAGTGGTCACTGGTGTTGTCTCAGGAAAGTCAGCTCCCTGTGATGTATTATAGCAAATGGTTTGTCCTCTGTTCCCGCCGATATGGCACACAGAGTTTTCTCTTTTAAATGCTACATTAATTTACAAGGCTGCAGACAAATGTGGCAGACACATTTCACGGGAAAGAGCCATCTGCCGAAGGAAAATGAAGCACAGACATTTATGTCCATAGAAGAAACGTTCTCTTTTCCGTCGTAAAAATGAAAGATATTTTTGGCAATGGGAATATTTTCTCTGTCATAAATGAGAGGGTTGTGTAGAATGCTCTGGTACACAATTAGTCATGAACTGGACACTATATTTCTTATTTCACACTAACATGACATCACTGACATAAACTTCAGCTGGGATTGGCTTAAATGATGGCTTTGGCAGTGAGTTTTCCCATAACTCGATCCATTGCTTAAAAATTGTGCACCGGCTGTAATAAAGCACAAAATTCAAAAAACAATACACAATTCATATAACTCTTTATATCTAGATTCTATACATTTATGTTAATTCTGAATGGAATAAATAGGGCAAGGCTTGGTATTGGCTCCAAAAGTAGAGAAAAACCTAGCTGGTTGCATATGTACCAACATTGCACCGATAAAACCCAATGCAAAACTTTTTACAACATATATCAAGTTTTTATTGCTGAGGGAATCTAGAATTGAAGTGCTGCTCCGTAATACAGGGCTGGGCAAATCCCAGGAGCCAGATGACCAATGCTTCTTAAAGTGTATTTCCGCTTCCGCAGCCAAATTGTGATGACACCAATTTAATATTTGTTACATGTTCCCAATCGTATAGCATAAGCTAAAAAATATTTAAAAAAATGCTTCTTGCAGTTTAAGCTGCTTTTACAGTAATACCTTGGTTTACGAGCATAATTCGTTCCAGCAGCATGCTTGTAATCCAAAGCGCTTAATAATAGAAAATAATGGAAATTCAGATGATTCGTTCCACAACCCAAAAGTATTCATATAAAAATGAATACAATACTGTAATATAATATAATACTGTACAAAATATAAAGAAAAATAAACCAATTTCCGGTTACCTTCGTGGCTGGGGTGAGGGGGACAAGAGAGAGGAGGCTTATTGTGTAGGACGACTTTCACTATCACTAACGGAATCACTGCTATCTCTCGGCTCAATGGAATCGTTTTCATTTCGTGAAACCTCAACAAGGAATCCATCCAATGTGACATTGCATTGCCCTTAAACAGACTCATCGCTCGCACTGCTACGGCCTTATTCGGGTGGTGCTTTTCTACAAAATTTTGCTCTTATTGCAAGACATTGCTTGTATATCAAGGCAAATTTTTTCAGAAATGTTTGCTTGTCTTGCAAAACACTCTCAAACCAAGTTACATGTAAACCAAGGTATTACTGCACTTGGGTTAGGGTTTCTTGGCTTCTTAAAATGGCACTAAACTCAGGGCTTAAACCTTAAAAATACATTCAAGTACATGAACAATTAACAAAAATGTATGTTATTTGTGTACCACTCAGCTGTAGATTCTCAAATCATCTCTGAATTGGTGCTGACTCTGTCCTTCCTTCTGGAGGGTGGCTACTTTTGTTCCACATGGTGCTTGTGTGTGTTTTAAAGTAGTCACTGCTCTAAGCTCACTCCCGTGATAAACTACAATCTCATTTTTAGTCTACTAATTTGTATTGAGATTGTTGTCCATGACTTAACATGCATGCACTTAACATTGAAAAATATATATGATTTTAATGTATTCCTTGCTCTGAGAATGTACTGCTCCCATGAATCATCTATGTTGTTATACCTCTATGTGACTAGTGCTGCGTGGATTTAGGGCAGTCTTAATGGCAAAGTGGCTGAAGCTGAATACAGCCCATACAATGTGACTGTACAGTCTCTTTAGATTTACCAACAACTATATACAGCAAGGGTCCATTGACTGGAATCAATTAGGAGCGGAATGGGTGGTTTAGACAGAGCTACATAGTTATTGGTACATCTTGAATATACAACCAGCTTGTAATGTGAGTGGCCAGCTTGATTTCACATATCTGTTCTGGTATGTGTTTTGTGCACCTTAAAAGTTTAAAGCACAAGACTCTGGGTTGAATAAACTGTAAAAACTAGCTTTGTCCAAACTATACAGATATCAGCTCTATTGGCCTACGGTTTCTCATGACTGCATGCCTCCAAACTGTCCCTCATTTGGAACCAAATCCCTCTGTACCTCTCTTCTCAAATGTAACTCTTTTTTTTGGTCTGATGTACAGATATCAATGGAAAGGTTTAATTTAAGTACCAAAAGTGTTATTCTGCACCAAAACCTTTATGTTATCTCTTAGTGATCTTGTTTGCTATTTGGAAAAGCCAATAAAAAGAAAAAGTAATAGTGGAAAAATCAATTCTGGGTTTAACCAATCATTTTAGCCATATCAATTCTTAAGGGTCCGCAGGGGTGTGTCCATTGCCTACATGCTTTGTGCTTCACATTTTAGAAAGTTCGGAGGTATGTGATTGATCGAACATCATTACAATCAGTAGCTCCAATCTGCTCACAAGTTCTGCTGAAATTAACAGACAATTAGGTTTGGCGCAATTAATCACTTCCATCAATAGTATTGGAGATGAAGATTGTATTAGAGTACCTCTTGTGGTTCTGGTTTGTGATGACATGTCTGTTTATGGTGCAGGCTCTTTACAAGCAGAAATATGATGCAGAGAAGGGGAAATCAAATTATGCGCAAATGCTCGAGCCTCCTGATATGAAGCATGCAAAGGAAGTAAACAGACACCAGAGCAATGTGAGTAACTACAATTTTGTTATGTTTCACTAGTCCAATATCCAACTAAATATGTCTGAGAACATGTACGGATATGGAGCTGCTTTTTCCAAGCTCACCTGGATTTGATCAGCTGATCGAGGGATGCTGGCCAAAAGGGTGCCGACAGCTGCAACCACTGTGTGACTTTCAGCCAGGAACTGGTTGACATTTGCATAATGTATGGTCAGTATGGCCAGCCGGTACCATGCAGCCCGCAGCCAGCAGCCGGCTGACAAGTCAGGCACACAGTCACCGGCCGCGTACCTGACTTGGGGGAGCAGCTACACATAGCTTCTTCCGGCGGTGCCAGCACAGTCTTCACTGAGCAGCAAAAGGTAGGATTAATAAGGTCTGCACCAGCCAAAAGTGCAGACCGTACCAATCCCCCACTGGACCACCAGGGATGTCTCCCCTCCCTGCAAAAATTGTAAGCAGGTGAGGGGACTCTTTCTTTTATTTTAAGAAGGTGTCTGTGTGTGTGTGTGTTGGGGGGGGGGGGAGTTTGTAATATTGTGTATTATACACTGCTCTATTTTATTTGTTCAACCCGCAGGCTGAACGAAATCCGCGTTTAACCTGTTATCAAGTACCTTTAGCTGCTTCTGAGTTCCTTCACGGGTGCATTTGACCTCCTTCTGAGCTGCATCAAGTTGCTTCTGCATTCTCATTGACTAATACGGGTAGAAAAACAGGCCTGAAGTGAAAAGGGGGACTTTTTTGGCCATAATAAACAATGTTTTGGGCATGATAAGTATATGACACATGCAATAGACATTAGTGCATGTGCTAATATTTCTGGCATGAAACCTTCAACCCAAAGAAGGATCGCAATGAGGGCTGGGTGATTTCTAAATATGAGCTAGCTGGGGTATCGCCATCACAGTGTTATATATTCCACTCACTGTACTGAGTCATGGGAATATGTAAAGGTGTTTTAACAGGCAGAGCATCATGTGCACATCCTTTCTATCAGTCAGATGTGGTGAGGTGATAACACCAGCTGTGAAAAAAGATCGGCGTGAATTGAAAGAGACGTAATCAGTTATTTTTACCGCTCATTTCTGACGGGCACAGAGGGAGCACATTTGTCCTGTATTTATACATCTAATTAGAGAATCCATTTCTGAGTGAAATTTACAGAATTAACAGGAGAATACTTAACTGAGGTGAATTAAAGATAACAGCTGCATTTGGGCTTGTACCCAGAATGTGTCATCATGCATTGCACAGCATTTCCCAGTTGTGTGAAAATGATTATTATAAATATATAGATGTTATAGGAGGTATATGTTTAGCGAATTGTAAAGTGACACTAATCTCAGGAGTTAAATCTTAAAAATGCATTCAAGTACCCTAACTGTTAACAAAAATGTATCTTATTTGTGTATCACTCGGCTGTAGATCTTCAAATCATCTCTGAATTGGTGCTGACACTGTCCTTCCTTCTGGAGGGGGGCTACTTTTGTTCCCCATGGTCTCTGTGTGTGTTGTAAAGTAACGACTGCTCCAAGTTTATTCCCGTGATGGACTACAATCTCACGTTTAGTTTACTAATTTGTATTGAGATTGTAGTCCATCCCGGGAGTGAGTTTGGAGCGGTGGCTACTTTACAACACACACAGGGACCATGGAGAACAAAAGTAGCCACCCTCCAGAAGGAAGGACAGTGTCAGCACCAATTAAGAGATTATTTGAGGATCTACAGCTGAGTGATACATAAATAGGATACATTTCTGTTCATAGTTAAGGTTCTTGAATGCATGTTTAAGATTTAACTCCTGAGTTTAGTGTCACCATAAGCACTAAGGGATTATTTGTCTGTGCTAGGGTGGAGGAGAATTAAATGTAAAAGTGTATGTAAACTTTAACTATAAAGTATTTTCTCCCTTTTAGTGTGGTAAATATACAGTTGAAAGTGTTTTTTTGATGGCTTTGCACTGTGACCAAGGCTCTCTGGTTGAAGATTTACAGATATGTCAACATCATATTAGGCCGTCCACTTACTCCTTACCTGTGGGAAGCCCTGCTCAATAAAAGGCCTGATAACATTACCTCCCATCATTTTAAACTTTCACTTTTCCTCTTCACTGCCACCAAGTGCACAATAACCAAGTCCTACAGATCTGACACTCTTAATTTCCTTAAGGCTAAGAATCGGATGAAGGACACTATGGTATTTAAAAAAAATGAGGGCTGAACTCTTGGACAGAATGCCTTGCATTGATAAGATCTGGGTCACCTGGATTACTCACTTCCTTCCGCCCTCTTTCGATAAAATAATTTTACAATTGTACTACATGTAAAAAGAAAAGTTAGATTTACACTTGCTGTACCCGGTTCTCTACCTGCGGCATCTAGTTGAGGATGACATCAAACTCCTTTTGGCTAGATCCTGGGGAATACAGACCAGCTTAAATTTCCTGAGAAGATGCTCTTACAATGAACTGGAGTGTCTTCTCGCAAAATTTCACATGCTCTGCAATGCTCAGGAATCTTCACGTCCAACCATGTGGAAGATGGGGGTAAGATGCATCCCTTTTTTTTTTTTACTGGTACATTTTACACCTACTAACAATACGTAATTTGTAAAGTGGGAGGAGGCTCAGAAATTTGAGCAGATCTTACATTTTACTGCAAGGTCCCGCTTTAAGTGGTGAGAAGGTGCACATAAAGCCCCAGTGTTCCCATTCTGCGATTCTGAATTCCCCATAAACATCACATTGAATGAGTTGGCTTTAGTTTCAATTAGCATTTTAATGGACATTTCAGCCCAGGCTGTTCAGCACGTAATATGCAATTTCAGTGCATAATAGGAACTTTTCAAGTAAGTTCATTCAGCTCTGAGCAGCATTTCTAATCTTTTCTGGTCATTAGCGAGACCCACTTAATTAGTTTGGAAAAGATTTATGTTTGTTTTATGTACTGTATTCATTACTGCATATTATGAGCTGAGACACTTTAACACAGTTAGGCCTTGTTCATTTCACACAGGTTTTAAAGGGATACTCTGAGGGCAATCCCAACACCGGTCAAGTGACACCGACACAGAGGTGTACTAAGACGAGCAGCTCAACTAACAACCGAATAGATACATTACCTTTTGCTCTTGGCTATATCACACCAACGTCTGTGCTATGACGCTTGATCTCTTCATTTATTGATCAGATCTTCAAGAAATGTCAAATTGCCTGGCATTTTTAATTTTATACTAACTTGCAATGATCCCAGGAAAATTCATAATATATATACACAATTTAGGTCTGTTGATATAGTACCAATGACAGTATTCAGATGCACAAAGTGTGTCTGTGGTCTCTATCTCAAGTTTCATCCATCCTAGTATGAGGACCAGACTTGCAGACATCACTGCAGGATGGCCATGATGGCATTTTCCCCACCAAACCACCCCCTTACAGAACACCTTTGATTTATGTTCTTAAAGTGTTTAAAGCAACAACTCAGCAGTATAATGTAAATTCCAAACGTGGGGCTCCAGCAGCAGCTCCACTCCAGATGCTTAATATAACACTGAACTAGCTGCTGTGAATTATTTTCCTGGCTTTAGTGCAATCCAAGCTAATACCTTAATATGAAGATATATCTAGTCATACACTGCCCTTTAAAATTTAAAATAGTTTTCTCTGTGTCCTTGCACTAAGCCTGCGTTGATCAATGCTGATCAACCCAGCTCAATGCACCTGTGAACAATCCCTTAAGGATAGGTCCAAAGAGAAAAAAAAACAGGATAAAGAAGCTAAAAAGCATACATTTCAGGAGTGTTACCAGACAAATATTCATTGGAATTGATGATTATTATTGAGAAATGATTTAGAGTCCACCCAAAAGTTATTGATATGTAGGGCCTGGTGGGCTGGGTCCCCTCCTGGCTTTTTGTGTGTCTTGGATTTTGTACATATTATTTTATGTTATATTTTTTTGTTTTAGGTATCCTATAAAAAAGATGCCCAGGATATACACACATACACAGAAGTGCTGGACAGACCAGACATTCAGAAGGCTACAGAGACTTCAAAGTTCATCAGCAATGTAACTACTGACCATGTATTATAACGTTTGCTAGCCAAGGAATGTATAATTGGATTTTCCAATATTGTTTTTACAGAAAGGACTGTGGAAGGTGGGGAACTCTTTGGGTTACTAAACGTGGCAAGGGGGTTTCATTGAGGGGATTTCCATTAAAAAAAACATTAAATGGTTCTGCATTCTTGCGTGCATACAAAACACAACATGCAGTGGCTGAGTACCATGCATTTTGTAGATATAAGCTTAACTCTCAATAGACCCTGCTAGCATGAACTTGTACTTTAAGCTAGATTGCGCTACAATCTCATGTCATTGGATGCCTACAGACATAGCAGCCAGACACTATCTAGGGAGAATGCAAATTCGGGTTATAGTTTATTGTGAGATAAGCCAAAGCAGGCGGTGACTACTTCACTGCATGTACATGTTCGCTTGGCCAACCAAACATCCATGTTTGTGGCATCTCCAGCAGTCATAGCATTTCCAGTTCATTAGATGTCGCTTTTGGGAAATATGACATGGCCAATTTTATGAGTGAGGAGCTGGATTCTTTAGATTAAGGGGCATTGAACCGCCAAAATAATTAGAGTCTATGGCGTATGGAAAAAATAAACAGGAAGCAGATGAAAGAGTTCAGCATATGAGTTAGCAACTTATGTTTATCATGAAAAACTATAGTGATATCAGTGAGGCAATTGTTTATATGGGTTAGTGGCATCACTGAGACATTCACTTAGGTACTTTGTGCATTGTCCAGGTACTGCTGTGTGTACTATGCATATTCAGCACTGAAGAAGACCCTACCAGCCTAGATTGTTACTTAGAAAAGTGGTCAGTGGGGATTTGCAGCTTCTTCTCCTTTCCCAGCCCATCTCTGAAGTCTATCAGAACATTGAGTGCTTCTGTTTATTTGTATTGCAGATTGATTATAGGAAAGGCAGAGAGGAACTGAACAGGGAGTCCATGGTTATAGGAAGACCTGATTTTGAACATGCAAAAGAAGTATCAAAATTCACCAGCCAGGTAAGATAATGTCCTAATGTTCTGTAATGAAGAATCCACCACCCCCGACGACAATATTAAGCAGTGTTGTACAGTATGCAACATTCAGGTCCCCTTTGTCAGCTAGGACACTTAGCATTCAGCCCTTTTCCCGGCAGACATATGTAATTGGTGCCCTCTTGGTCAAAGAATGATTTACAGACATGGACTTGACTGCACAATGCCTAACAAACAATACAAAGACTGCAGAACTCACAGGCAAATCTTTCTTATAGGAAAGGTTTATTCAGGTTTTAGTACTTGTAAACAGAGAACACAAACACAGTTCACCTCCTCTGGGTAGAAGTCTTTATATGTTAAAAGATAAAAAGGCAAGAAATGTACTCACAAAAGAGCAGTCAATAGAGCCTTAATGGGAGAAGTCTTGTCAGCACTTGCAAAACATCAGAACAGCCACAGCTAGAACTGTGCAGACCGGAGTACAGATCCTTCTAACTGCATGTCAGCTTAGGTTAACGCGTTTGAGGACACGCCACCTATGTCAGAACCTTTTTAGCACTTGTTTAAACACTACAGTCCAGTTTTGAGGCACATATATAACAAGGGAATCAGTATCGCTGCTCCAAATGCCCAGTTACGGGACAAGGCTACTCATGCTAGAGAAGTTCTTCCTTCCACTATTGCTTTTACTGTTTGCCCCAGTTCCAATTCCACTATCCAACATAAACTTAAATTATGGGGTCTACTTATAAACAATTTGCCATGCCCTGCATATGAGTGAATACAAATGTTTTAGTATATTTTAAAAATGAATATATTTTCTTCTCAGGTCAATTGTAATGTATTATAATACCTAGATGGAGGTGATGAGCATAGGAAATAAATATTAAAGCTCATTCATTTAATTGTATTTGATTATTCAATACAAACAATTATTATGACTCTCTCTCTCTTTTTATTCAGGTGAAATACAAAGAACAATTTGATAAAGAAATGAAGGGTAAAAAGCATTGCTATAACCCATCAGACAGCGCTGACTTCAAGCAAGCCCAGGCTGCTACAGAATTGGCTAGTGACGTATGTACTTTTAACAAGCACTAGCCCTCACTTCCATATTCTTACATTATACATTAAAGGACGATATCAGGGAAAGTCCAGAATTCTTAAATTTTAAATATGTAAAGGGAAAAGCTGTGTCTGATTTATGCTTTTTTAGGACACCTGTTAGATTTAAAAAAAAAAACCAATGTACAGTACATGATGCAGACTGTCACTAGAATTAATGCAACAGTTCCCCCTGTAACAGTTTTATGACCCATTGATCCTGCCAGTAGATCCTTGATTTGCCACTTCCTTTAACAGGGTGACAACACTGTTTGTTTTAAAGTGAAATTGCACCACAGCATTGTTATCCTATGGACAGGGTACTCCTAAATCAGCCCTTCTTTTACCCCATGGGAACCCTTTAAATCATTTTTAGTGAACCTTGCTGAATATTATTATATCCATGGCTAAAGGTACATGAGTGTGAATACTAAGTTGCAATGAACAACAAAGAATATAAGGAAAGTAGACTGTTTGACTCCCACTACTGATCAACCTCCTGCTCTATAGGACAAGATAAACAAATAATAAACACAGTGAAATTGTAGTGTTCCTCTACACTAATGGTCAGTAGAGTAATGCCCCCTAACATTGGTGAAGTGCCTCCTTTTATTTGGGGATCAGTAGAAAAATGCCCCACGCATGATCAGTATAAAGAAGACCTCTTACATTCAATATCCGTTGAAAATGCTGCTCCTTGGTGTGTAGGTTGGCAATCAGTATGCCACTGCTCAAGGAACCCCTAAGAACCTGTGGTGGAACCCTGTTTGGAATTTATTTTTGTTAAATTAAAGGAGAAGTATTGGGAAAGTAAAATGTACTCTTACCAATGCTTAGAGCGTGGGACACTGCAGATCGCTTACCTCCCAGTCTTCGCCTGGCAGAGAGTGGTGACCCACAGGGAATTCCCGCCACTGCAGAGGCAGACCCAGCTGTCAATCAGGCAACTGGGTGGATCATGACAATATTAAAGAAGAGCTCCAGGCACAAATTTTATTAAGCCTTGCAGTGGGGCTACACCTTGTGCCCCCCCCCCCACTGCAGTGGTTAACTGCTCATTTTTTCCTAGGGTAAAAAAGTTATACTTTTACCCAATAATCGGAGCCGGCAGCGCTCCCTCCAGCCTGTCTCATCCTCTGCTGCAGTGATGGTATGTCCCTCGGCGTCCTCATGTTCTATACACTGTACTGGTCGTGATGACTCACCAGACCTTAGACCATTGCAGCCGAGGTGGAGAGACGCTCCAGGGACTGGTCTAAGAGCCAGCTGGCTCCAACGATCAGATGAGTATAACTTTTTTTTTACCCTAGGCAAAAACAATCACTTCACTGTTGGAGTGTGTTGGTAGCCCCACTGCAAGGGTTGACAAAAATGTGTGTCCTTAGCTCTCCTTTAACTCTAGCTTACTCTCTTCAAGCAGCTACTGTTTTCTTTTAGAACAAACTATTTACGCCAAATGAATAAAAGCTGACCGTAGTGGTATATGGCTTTTCCTAACCCCTGTACATGTCACCTTTGTTGGGCAGCTTGGTCTGCATGTCAGTGTGGAGAAAAATATAAACAATGGTATGTGAAATATAAAGGAATTCATATATTGAAATCTAACATTATATGTAATAACCACATATAGTGATATGCAATATTTTTTTGCGATAGTACTTTTAATAAGCCCAAATATATTTAGGTATACGATAGTGGTTGGGCAGTTTTGTCTGCATGTAGACGTGAAGCAAAATATAAATAAAGATAAATGTGAAAAGAAAAAGGTGAGAGTATTATATTTTCCCCTATAATGGTTCTAATGGATCTATCCTGATCCATAGTCTTTAATGTATCCAGTAGTCAATGCATGTTGGGTGTCCTGCCTATACAGCAGTAATGATGAGTTATGTCTTATCTCTTTATCTCTGATCTAACAATAAATGAATATAATATATCAGACAAAATATTCTGTTCTGCTAGGCTGGACTGCTAGCACCACCATCTCTGCAGTCTGCCAGTACAATTATTAGCCCGCAAGGAATTATCATACATTTTTCACAGAAAACATTTGTGTTCTGTGATAATCTGTCTATGTATGGTGGGTTTTGAGAGGCACGGAAATCCAGCCATGTTAACACTACCCAAAAATAAATAAAGCATTTTAAGTGCCTGTATATAATGAGCCATAATGGTAAAAGCAGGTTAATTTGTGTCTGCTGGAGATGATTGCGTAACATTAGAGAAGCCAAATTTCTAAAGAAAATTTCTTAATTTGATTTTGCAGCCAATTAGGCTCCCTAGGTGAATGTGAAAGAAGTCACAGTGTGTGCCAACAGAATAAAAACACTGTTTACAAAGTAAGGTTGTTTTAGGACAGTTTTTGAATGCTTGTTAAATGAAATGATAGGGTGCATTTATTGCTCAACCCCGAGAAGCTGCTGGATGTAAAATTACTCATCAAGTGCTGTCAAAATGTTCCAAGCATATAGAAATACACAAAGAGAAAAAAAGTGTCAAGTATGTATTCACTCTGGGGTGGATGTGATGATAGAAAAGATACGGTCACCAATATGCAGTGATCTGAACCTCCACTCTTCAATTGGTATGATTGTGCAGCCTTCTGTGCGTGGTAAAATAGCCACTGCTCCAAGTTCACCCTAGGCTCATCGCGGTATGCTTCAGCTGCTGCTCACGATATACTAAGACGCCGCAGCTGAAGCGGATCCCGACAATTATGTCTGGATCCGCCCAGCTGCGTGACTGACAGCTGGCTCTGCCTATCTAGAGGCAGAGCCAGCTGTACCCGCCCCCTTCCCCGTCCGTTCCGCCAGGCAGCGCTGGCGGATCGGAGTGGGGAGGGGGGAATCCAGCCCCTCCCCTGTCACGGCAGAGAGCCGTGACACGATTGAGAGGTAAGCGAACGCCGGTATGTGTTCGCTCACCTCCCCATCTACTGAGCCGACCTGTGACAGTCTCATTGTCACAGGTCGGCTAGAACTATGAGGAGAGTGAAAAGCACTCACCTCATAGTTCTCCTTTAACAGGTGTGCTGCATGAACATGTGCTGACAAGGAAGAAACTGATAGGAGCAGAAGTATAATTTCATCAGCCTCCTACTGCTTCTTCATTGTCCAATCACACACAGGGAGGTGGCCAGTGTCTATTACCAAACCTCCCAACTGTCTCATTTGGAACCAAACCCCTCTGTATTTCTTTCCTCCTCCTTTTTGGTGTGATGGACAGATATCTAGAAAAAAGTTATATTTAACTACCAAAATGTTTTATTCTGCACTAAACCCTCTATGTTATCCCTTAGTTATCTTGTTTGCTGTTTCAAAAAGCCAGTATAAAGGAGAAGTAACAGTTTTGGGTTTAATCATTTATGTTTGGCATATAAATTCTGAATGGTCCACATAACTAGGGGCATGGCAGGGGTTTGTTGCCGATATACAATGGGACATTATGGCTGGTAAAACAACTCCTATATAAATATTTCAACTGTGTGTTTAGCTGATTGCCAGGCATATATGCTTTAAGGAAGCTTAAATGAGTTTGTAAGCTAGCCTCGGATTTATCTGCTTGCTTGTGTGTGCTTTGTTTTTCAGGTGAAATATAAGAAGGACAAGCACAGCATACATGATTTTTCAGTAGACCTTCCAAACCTGCTCTATTTGGAACACACCCTGAAGACCAGCAAGATGCAGAGCAATGTAATGCTGGGGAGGGAAACTGTTTTTTCTCATATAAGAATATTGGGTTTACTTAAAGTGACATTAAAGTCAAATTCCCCCCCCTGGTGCTTATGTAAGGACTTACCTTAAATGATGCTTCTTAATCCGATCTTCTTCTTTCCAGGAGTTTTTAGCTGTCCCTCCAGCACTGGCGCGGGTCTCCGATCCAGCGCTGACTCCTCTGTCCTCCTCTTTGCTCACCCCCTTAAGCCAATCAAAGTCCTGCAGTCAGTGTATCAGTGGAGAAAGAAAGCAAATTGTCAACTTGGTCCCAGTATATACTGTATTTTTATAGATGAGGGTCAATTCATTCAATATTTATTCCAGTCTTCATGTCCCTCTGTGCAGAGAAATTTCTGCTTAAATTCTCAGATCTACACTACACCCCTGCTTTGGCATTATATAAGCGGCCCCACTCTCCCTGCTGAATATTTATTTATATTATAGAACTGGAGGTGTTGGAAAACCCAAAACTCCCCGGAGGACAGCAACAGAGTTGGCAATTATGGCAGGAGAGGAGATCTCTCTGTTGGAGTCCATGACACATAAGAACACCCTTTATAGAACCATCTACAGTTAGTGATGGTTATAGATACAATACTTTTTGTGATAATGGTGCTTTTAAAAAATGCCAAAATATGTTTAGCTGTCCTAAACACAAGACAATGATTAGACTGCCCCCACACCATTGTGGATCAGATCTGATGCCTACTTCAGCAGAGACGACATGACTCATCTGGCATGACATTAATTATGGGATCTCCCACTGATGGGAGCCTGCAGTCTACATTTCTGTTTAATAGGGATGTTTTCCATTTTGTGCCTTAATAACTTTTGGATGCAACTTTTTGTGTCATAGGTTTCATATAGGCCCAGTGATATATATAACTGCTGTTTTTAATATAATAACTGCACAAAAAGCAAACTTTTTTCTGAAGAAAATGGGAATCCCACAAAGGCCCTAAACCCAATCATGTGATCATTGGTCTGAAAGAGGAACTGAACTCTGAAAGTAAAGCTTTTTATGCTATAGGGAACATTTAGGACTGTTAATTGTGCATAAAAATTACCATCCAAAATCTAAATTTGTAATTAAATTCACCTGAAAAATTGCTGTGCACTTCCTGATATCTTCAGTGGGATGTCCTAGGTACTGCTGCCTCTAACTGCTAGTCTTAGGAGATTTGGAGGTAGATTTGGTGATGTCACTACTGTGCTGCTCACTGTTCTTCGTGCTGATGGGTCTGACATGAGGAAGCAAAGCCATGCTTCTACTAAGATGGCTGCCTCCACCCGGAGACACAGTGCAGAACAAGGCATGGTAAGTCAATACTGTGAAAAGAACAGCTGCAGGGAGATCACTGGTAATACCGTTGACTAGTCCTTTGACCTCTGCCTGCCTTTTATTAGGCACAGCTTCCAGACTCCAGTTCACAAAGGCTCTCAGGGGACTGCCGTTTCAGCAGAGCGCGTCAGTCAGCTTATTACTATTATTATACAAGATTCATATAGCACCAACAGTTTGCTCAGCACTTTACAATGTAAGGAAGACATTACGGTTCAAACAAAAATCAAGACAAGATGGCAAGGAGGGCCCTACATATTTACTTGAATTATGTAAAAGCCCCAAGATCCTTCACTTTCATGTGAGATCCCCATTTCTTCATTAATGGGTACTGTTTTTACGTCTCGAAATAACATTTACCTATGTCATGATTTTAAATGATATATTTAGCTGCATTTAAAACTTTCTTAATATAATGTTTGTTGTGCCTTATAGAAGACCTACAAGAAACAGTTTGAAGAAAACAAGGGGAACTATCATTTTGCTTTAGGTACGGCAGAGCAAATTCACCATAAAGAAAATGCAGTGCTTCAGAGCCAGGTAATAGCAATAATGAAAATAATAGTAATTAGCACAATTGAGAGTTTTCCTGAAAAACAGGAGCATTTAAGAGCTTTTTCACAAGTGCTTTCCGATCAGGCCCGCCTGTCTGTATTTCAGGCGTACCTGATCGGAAGCCCAATGTTAGTCTATGGGCAGCCAGATCTAAATGGAATGGGCATCCGTTTGTATCCAGTTACCCCCAGCTCCAGCCAGGTTTGGAAAAACAAACAGATCAAAGTTCTGTTTCACTAGACCTGATCATGCCGGATCAGGGGTAATGTGATGGAAAAGTCCATTTACATCCGATTCCCCACCAACATGGGTCCGGTAATTTCATTTTTTTCCTCCATCGCAAGATGAAGGAAAACCAGACGGACACGGATGTCACAACGGTGACATCCGTTCCAGTCAGCAAGAGATCTGGGAATGGATCCCTTCTTGATCGGACTGTGTGAAAGTGAACTAAGTGATTAATTTATTTTCTGAACTCCAAAAATACTCCTCAACATGTAATAAATGAGAAGGTCTGAACCAGGAAAACATAATCTTTCATTATGCAACAAAAGCTTTCTTTCCTGTGCCCGATATAAGCTTTGCCAATCAATCAGCAAGTAGTAAAGGAGCACAAACTTTTATGAGGGGGTCAGACACAGAACTTTATATTACTCATTTGCCCATGGCAACAAATGTATTTAAAAGTAATAGCTAGTTGCAATGATAGATTTCAGCATTTTAAAACAACATTTGTTTTTCCAGGAAACAATAGGATTAGAGGGAAAAAGAAAATACTTTTTAATTATAACTACCACAAATGTGATTGTCATTTCTTAAAGTAGTGTTATATGCTATTGTTATTTTATAGGTAAAATATAAGGAAAAGTATGAAAAATCAAAGGGTAAATCCATGTTGGAGTTTGTTGACACCCCATCGTATTATGTCTCCAAAGAGGCTCAGAAAATTCAAAGTGAGGTTGGTATACAGTGCTGACATTGGGGTACAGTATATGAAATTCCCATATGAAATCTCGTGCAAAATAACCTATAATAATATTAAAAAAAACATTATGGCAATGACACAATGGGGGTGATTTACTAACCTAAACACACGCACACACTAGGTGCGTGTGATTTTTACACAGCAAAACGTATTTATCAACCAAAAAGTCTCTAAAAGCATATTTCCACTAATGCCATATATGGAAAAATCATGCACATGATGCATATATAATGCTGCTTCACAGTTTAGACAAAAATGGTTAGCTCATACATTTACATTCCTGCATTCATCAACGCAAGCAACACAACGTAGAGATAATTTACACAACATCACCTTGCAATTCATCCAGGGCTTTGCACAACACACCTGCTGGGTGTGTACACACTACAAAGGTGTCTAGATTCCACCAATAGATCATGCTGGGAGGGAACACACTACAGAGGTGTATACTTGTTCGTGGCGTGTTTATAAGGTTAGTAAATCAACCCCAATGTATTTGTTACTGGAAGGTTAAACCAAGGGAATATTTTGTAGTATTTAAAATAGAATGTCACCTAAAATGAACTTTACAGTTATGGAAGGATCTGTTCCCCTACCATCATAGAATTGTTTCACCCAAATACCCCCCACCCACCCGCCCCCCCCGATGAAACTAAAGACTATGCAGGATAAGTGGCCCCGGGGGTTCTAGGAAGAGCACCTTCCACTGTCCCATTGTATATTCCCCTATAGTAATATATGTGGACCTTCACTCTTCATTGCTACTTTATCTAATATTGGTAGTCCCCCATTCCAACCGCCCCTTTCCTGCGATGCCATTCTACCCTAGCCAAGACTATAAAAAAGAATTCTAAATATCTACACCTCCTCCCTTGGTCAGTTGATAACCTTGCATGACTTCCAATACCATCCCTATGCTAATGACACACAAATTTATCTCTCTACTCTACAGCTCACCCCTTCGGTGTCCTTGCACATCACTAATTTACTAACTGACATCAGTCTGGATGTCAAACAACTTCTTAAAACTCAATCTTTCAACAACTGAGCTCATGATATTTCCTCTTGCCCTCGCACCTTCCTCCAACGTTTCCATTGAGATTGATAAAACTATCCCTCCCTCCCCCCATGCCAAGGTGATGGGTGTAATCCTGGACTTTGACCTCACCTTTTAGGCCCACATCCAATCACAATCCAAATCATGCCGCCTTCACCTCAGTAACATCTCCAAAATATGCCCCCTCCTAACTAAAAAAACCACAAAGCTACTCATCCACTCAATTGTTATCTCTCATCTCGACTATTGCAACTCCATCCTCACGGGCGCAGGGCCATCCTAACTACCTTGTCTTGAATTGTATTGTAACTATAATGTCTTATATTGTAAAATTCTGCACAAACTGTTATATAAATCCTGTATAATAGTAATAACAATAATAATAATAAATATAGAAATGTACACTTTGAATGCTTCAAACATGCTAACCTTGACGTCTCCCTTCATTTAGAGTTTTACATGGAGAATTCCATTTTGCTGCAAGATATTAAGCAAGTTAACTTCATTTTATTTGTTGAGCAGAAATTATATCGGAAAGATTATGAGGAAGGCGTGAAAGGGAAAGCTTCAGCAGACCTGGACCTCACACCAAGCTTCCTGCATGCTAAACATGCTACTAACCTGCTCAGTGAGGTATGACCTGCACAACATTGTAACGTAATATTTTCATGTAGGTGTGTCATTTCTGTTTATTATGCTGTTCATCTACTTTATTATATTATCTCTAGAAAGAATACAGGAAAGATCTAGAAGAAGGGATCAAAGGAAAGGGACTGACCGTTCTGGAAGACACCCCCGATTTAATAAGGGTGAAGAATGCAGCACATATACTAAATGAGGTAAACTACTAAACTAATTATAAGTGTAGAGCAACATTGTGGTAAATACTGTGACTGTGATTACTTCCCGGGGATTAACCCTGTTTTTAGGAGGCTGGACACTATAAAGGAAAACTATCCCTCTATGGGCTATGAGACCCCTGTCAAGCAGCATCTGTCCAGTTTTAGCCTAGTGTACAGGATGTATCTCCTAGTCCTGGCCTATGAGATATACCACATACAAATGTGATGTATTTAATATTATTTTGTTCCAGTTGGTAGCTCACTGGGTACGACCGTGGTTTTCTGTCTTATGGTGCTGTATGTACTAGAAAGAGCAGATCTAAGCTGCCCCTTCTGAGTTGGACTATGGATCTATGAAGTTGCACCATTATAGGCTCCCCTCTAAATGACAACCCTGCCCACAAGGTCTGGAGTATTCCAGCTGACTGCTGTCTGGGGGGCTTTGAACTACTGGACGTATTTCATTATATTTTATTTCTTTTGGAAGCTTACTTGTTATGGCTGTGGTTTTCTGTCTTATGGTTCTATCTGTGCCAGAAAGAGCGTATCTAAGCTGCCCATTCCTAAGTTTCTTCAATGTAGGCTACCCTCCAAGTGACAACCCTGACGACCAGGTCTGGAGTACTCCTGCTGAATTCTGTCTGGGGGCTTTGTTGCCTGAGACTCTCCTTCATCTATGTCACCATTTAGAAGTTGACTTTCAAGTTGTACATTTTCAGGGTACTTTGGCTTTGTCTTCTCTTTAGAATTTGTGTGCCTTTTGTATTCCATGTGAAGGTTGTGTTGCCATCAGAAGCCTGAATAAGTTGTAGAATTGTTCAGCCTGTGTGAAGTCATAATCTATGAAGTGAACATGTTGCTTGCCATTGCAGAGAATGATGAGAAATGCCGGGTATTGCTAAGTATGGGGGAGAATGTGATTTACTCCCCTCTATAGTATACATAAAAGACCTCACAACCCCTTTGATTTTAGCTGGGTGACCATGTGGTCTCCCTGTGCATGTTGCACAGCCAATGATCCATAGATTCTGCCATTGGTGACATTGAATGCTATATGCATTTGCACCAGGGGACTGGGAGTCTGTTTTCATGCATTATTAGTCTTCCTATGTTTAGGATTTCTTAAATGGAGATACTTGTGGCAGTGTCTTTGTTGCAGCTTTTTCATATCCCCTGCAGTGTTCCTAGAGACATATGCATGCTGACATATGACATTATACTGTATATGTATTCCTATAGTTTTCTGATGAAGCAGACCTAGGGTCTAAGAAACACATCAAAAGAGCTACCAACATTCCACTTGTGATTATCCTCACATCTTGGAAGACTAGAGCTACAGACTATATAAGATCAGTTGATGGATAGTTAAAAGGTAATCAGTATGGGTGTAACTAGCGTTGTTTCTATATACTTTGTCTCTACATTTCACTTGCAGATATGCATTTCTAGGCATATCTTCATATTCAGTTAAATAAAAGTAGTGCTCTTGTGATACAACTTTCAGCCTGTTTAGTTAGCTCCAGTGACACCTTCAACGCCCTGAACTAGTACATTTGAGAAAGTTATGTATTTCTCATGTTGGGAATGATTATTTTACTCTCTAGTATTGCTCTTCATCTTCTACTGCTTGCCACAAACGTGAGTGCTGTTGCCTCTCAGGGAATATAGCCAATAAGGTAGGAGTTCTCCAATCTCCATTGAGTATGCCTAATGCCTCAAAGTTATGTTGTGTTTCCTAATGAACATAACGAAAACAAATCCACTCAACCATAATTTGCAACAATAAAAAAAAAATCACCAAATTTGCAACAAAACTTTGTCTGTTTCCCTTTCTTAAGAAAGAGTACCGTAAGGATCTGGAAAATGACATTAAAGGGAAAGGCATGGAGTTGAGCGCAGACATTCCTGATATGATCCGAGCTAAGCGGGCATCTGAAATTATTAGTCAGGTAAGATACAAAGTAATAAGCTTACCAATCTATAGATGTGGTGGCTGTACCAGTTTTCTTTATTCAGGCTTTTTTTGCTTTATTGTCACCTTGTGATCCTCCCAGTAACACTCTTTCTGTACTAGGGTGATAGCATGTTCCTAGTGTACTATATCTGTGGAGGGGCAGGGTTGTCCCCCCAGGACAGGACATTTGTTAGGATTACTGAACAACCTCCCCATCTCCATAATCTAGGGGGGAGGTGTTCAGAAGTTCTGTAGTTCACAGAGGATAACTGGGTAGTGTTGATATTACTGCTCAGTATTTCAGTGCTACAGAATCTAAATGAAGTTATGAGCTCACTGGATTTCTGGCAGGATCAACAGTTTTTTTTACACTTATTGAACAGATATTACAAAACTATATATACTATATATATATATAATGTGGTATTGTGTGGCAATCCCCCGGTAGAACTGGGTGTTTTTTTTCCCAGGATTGTCTTTGCAGTTCTCCCCAGCTTTCCTGGATTTGGCATGGGATCCTGGAACTGGGAGATTTCAAAGAAAGTTGGGATTGATGAAATCTCCATTCCTGGGTCTGTGGATTAGTAGTGGCCAGCACCTAACGGTTGCACACCTGTGCACAGCCCTTATTGAAAGGGTGCTGGCTAATGTTCAGCTGGGTTAGAGAAACATGTGTTCAGGAGTCAGGAGGACTCCACCCAGACGTCAGAGTGGAGCCAGGTGGCTGTGTGTGCTGGAGGCACATGGGAGACAGCCGAGGAAGGCTTAGAGAGCCAGCGACACATGAGGAACCTGTGGAAGAGTCACACGAGAGGTGTGGAAGCTATTGAGAGCTGCTAAAGAGTATTGAGCACGGCTGTGGACTGTGGCTCTGTTAAGGAAATCCCTAACGCCCAGGTACTGGGACACATGGAGTATGTACGGCAGCCTTGAGTCGGTTAGATTATGTAATACATTCTGTTTGCTGAAATACAAGCAGATCTTGTGTTATTACTGAAAAAAACTATGTTTACGTTTTGAAAGAAATAAAAGACTGTCCTGTTTTATGTTCAAGCGGCTTCAAGACTGGTCTTTATGCGCTCACCATTTATGCTAACTTCCCCAAACATCACTCTATACAGTATATATATACATATAAAAATATATACAATATATAACTGCTGGAGGGCACATGATTTAGGAAACAAAGTGTGAAGAAGAAAACTCAGCTTTTCTTCATGGGAGGTTTTGAATCTTCCAAAAAATAATGGGCTCGATGTCCTCATTTGAACTACGTGCTAGTTCACATTTTTGTGCCTCTTCTTGGACCTAAAATAGATTAGTGTTGTAAGAGGTTAGATAGATCATTGTAATAATTGTTCTAATTATTCCTCTTCATACTACTCAGATAAAGGCCATGTGTAATTACTGTAATCATAGTAATGGGTACAAATGAGGCTTTTCCTATGAGGAAATTACTCTCTCCTCGGATTGGATCTAACGCAGAGAGCAACACTGTGTTCTGTCTGATGCTGAGAATGCGATCTATACCATTACACTCACTGGACTTCATTACATATAATGCACCAACTCCCTAAAACACAAGCCTGTTACAAGGTACATTTAAACTAATGACAGCAGGGCCACATTTCTGTGTACAGTGTAGCTATGAACACTGCATTCCTCCTTATTAGTCTTTTAGCCAATCAGCTGTAGGCTTAAGGATGTCAGAAATTTCCAGTAAACAAAAACTCTTCAACAGTACAAATCATACTTTTCAGACATCGTTCTAAAAGTCCTTCAGCAGTCACCCCAAAAGCAGAGAAAATCACCAACCGTCAAAAAGGCTTAGGCTTTCTTTCCGTGTCTGTACTCGTTTTCTGCTCTATGCTGGCTCACAGCTCCCGCGTAACATGACAGCGGTGGTGGTCTTTTTTTTTGGTGGACATCAAGAACTGAGTGAAATTCATACAGCGTATGGCGTAGAACTTCATACAGTTAGACACCCCGGTCTAACAATTTAAGGAGCTGCACACCGACCACAACACAACACACCACCCTAAAAGTGCATTTTCAACTTTATACAGTGTATGGCCACCTTTAGACAGCCAAATTTTAAAAAGTATAACTCCGCTTTATTATAACTAGTCAATGTATCCAATAAATATATTCTTTCTTTGACACTTCATATTAAAGTCTATCTGGATTCAATTGGCTTTATGAATAACAATAGATACTGTAGACACTAATACATTAGAGGCTGTATTGAAACTTGTTGCCTTTTGGTATTGAAAGTCTTATTAGGTATAGAATGCACCATGAGAAAGCCAAAGGTGAGAAGATACAGGTAACTTTTCTATAAATGCCCAGATATGTCTAAGCTAGAGGATTTTTTTTTCAAAATGTTAATATGCTTCTTTTTTTACTTTTCATTAGAAAGAATACAGGAGAGACTTAGAAACCGAGATCATAGGGAAAGGAATGCAAGTAGATGCTGACTTACCGGAGATACAGCACGCAAAGAAAGTCACAGAATTTTTGAGCCAGGTTGGTACCTAATGTCCTAAATGAGAACCAGAGTCATATATTGGGAATCAGAGGGTATACAATGTGCTGCTGTACTGGATGCCGGGAATACGAATCAGAGGGTACAGTATATATATTGTCCTGTTGTACCAAATGTCCTGAATGGGAATCAGAGGGTATATATGCTGCTGTTGTACTGGATGTCGGGAATGGGAATCAGAGGGCATATATTGTGCTGTAGAATTGAATAGCCTGAATGTGAATCAGAGGGTATATATGCTGCTGTTGTACTGGATGCCGGGAATGAGAATCAGAGGGTATATATACTGTATATTCTGCTATTGTACTAGATGTCCTGAATGGAAATACTACATATCGCGCTGTTGTCAAACAGTGTCAAGTCTGCCTCTTTAGGATCAATTCACTAAAGCATGATCTATGCAGCATTTAATTATTGTGTATTATTTTATTTACTATTGAAAATGATTCACTAAAGATTTTATCACACAATTAAGATTAATTTACTGCAGGCACTGTGCTATTCAGTATGAAAAGGGTCAGTTACACAAAATGCTTGCAGGTTAAAATACTGGTTGTTGTGTATCTAAAGGTAAACCTTTTTTCCCCATTTTGGATAGAGTGGTGAATGGTTATTAGAAAAAGTAAATAAAAGTTTTTTTTTTAGTAAGCAATTCAAGAGATTTCTTTTCACTTCCAGCCTTGTAGACTTGACAGACTCCAAACTGAACAAATCCTTTTCTTAAATAGTTGTAACTGGAAGAGATGTCCCAATTGGAAGATTTCTCCTCTATTACTATTCTGGAGGCAACTAAAAATGTTTAACGGTCACCAAGATAAATATATGAGTGAATCTCCTCAATGAGGGCAAATAGTTCTCCTTTAACTTTGAGCTTCTGTTAGAAGTCTGTTTATGGGGATGGAGCCAATCCAAGGTGGGGATTAATCACATTTAATTAGATAAAACTCATGTTTAAATAATCCACCAGCCTGCATACTGTTGTATTGTATTTTTTTACTTTTTGTTAAAGAAAAGTTATAAGTAGGATCTAGCGACTGAGATAAAAGGGAAGGGGATGCAGGTGGGCCCAGATATCCCTGAGCTACAAAGAGCAAAGAGAGCCTCTGAGATTGCAAGTCAGGTAGCCAATCATTGTTCTCTGTGCTGAACTACGGACATCTTTTTATAACATTTTGGAAGCAAAAATATCACATGGTGCCCATTTTTGTGCTTTTCCAGATGAAAATTCAAAATATTTGTTGTTGCACGGGCATAGAAAAGGTTCACTTTAGGGGTGTTTAATGTGCTGGGAGTGAAGTTGTTATTAATATTATTTTATTATTATTTTTATATTATTATTTTATTATTACTTTTTTTAATATCGTTACTGTTTTGTATAATTTTATCTACAGCAAAAATACAAGAATGAAGCACAGAAGATGATGTCTATGTATTCTGTAGGTACTGATACTCCTGAGATGGAAAGAGTAAAGAATGCCCAGAAATCCATAAGTGCTGTGAGTATAACCACCACACATCCTAACATAAGATAATAGCACAAAGGACGCTGACCATAAAGAATTATTATGCAAAAAATTATTCATTAAACTTACAATTGCTTTTTTTAAACACTACTTTTCCTTTATGCTCGGTTTGTAAATAAAATATGCATTCGTTTAAAAGTTGGATGAAAGGTTTTGCTTAGTGTAACGCCTTTGGCATACCTTTCTAAGAACAGAAAGAGGGACACCTTCTAGCACAATGTATTTAGGCAATGGAGAGACCTCCATCACCCCCAGTTCTAGGGACTATTAAGAGTTTATATGCCAAAAATGATTGGTAAATACAAAATTGTCTTTTTTTCACCATTACTTTTCCTTTATACAGGCTTTTCAAATATTAAAAAAGAAAAATAGGAGATGAGATAAAGAATTTAATGCAGAATAAAACTTTTGGAAGTTAAATAGAACCTTTTCATAGATATCGGTACATCAGACCAAAAAGACGGACAGGTGAGGAGGAAGGAGGGACAGAGGGAATTAGTTCCTAATGAGGGACAGTTGGGAGGTTTGCCTTCGGTACATTTTTAGAGTTCTGTACAAAGTGGGTAGCAAGCAAATTAAGGGGTCTATTCACAAAGCTGCCGAGGGCAGCCGAGTGAATGACCGATCAGAAGTGAAGTGAGCCGAACACTGTTCGGCTATTCACTTCAGGCTGGTACGGCTGATTTCAGCCGATATACGGCTGAAATCAGCCGTACATCGGCTTGCTTCGTGTGGATTCGGATCAGCCGAACATGCTCAGCATGTTCGGCTGATCCGAATCCACACGAAGCAAGCCGATGTACGGCTGATTTCAGCCGATATACGGCTGAAATCAGCCGTACATCGGCTTGCTTCGTGTGGATTCGGATCAGCCGAACATGCTCAGCATGTTCGGCTGATCCGAATCCACACGAAGCAAGCCGATGTACGGCTGATTTCAGCCGATATACGGCTGAAATCAGCCGTACATCGGCTTGCTTCGTGTGGATTCGGATCAGCCGAACATGCTCAGCATGTTCGGCTGATCCGAATCCACACGAAGCAAGCCGATGTACGGCTGATTTCAGCCGATATACGGCTGAAATCAGCCGTACATCGGCTTGCTTCGTGTGGATTCGGATCAGCCGAACATGCTCAGCATGTTCGGCTGATCCGAATCCACACGAAGCAAGCCGATGTACGGCTGATTTCAGCCGATATACGGCTGAAATCAGCCGTACCAGCCTGAAGTGAATAGCCGAACAGTGTTCGGCTCACTTCACTTCTGATCGGTCATTCACTCGGCTGCCCTCGGCAGCTTTGTGAATAGACCCCTAAGTGATCTACCATATTGGCCAGGAATAAATACAATGGTAGAAAATACAAGAAGCATTCTTACAGTGATACCTTTTAGTGGCTTTTGGAGCTCTAAATCCTTTTCTATGGATATAACGACTTAAGCAGGAGCTTTAGAAAAGCTCTTAATTAGTTTTAGTTAGCTACTAATTGTATCCCTGTGACAATTCATTTGTCCTCTGTACATGTATACAAATAGGAACAACAATGAACAGAGGGACAGAGTGATTTGGTTCCAAAAGAGGAACAGTGGAGACCACTGATGATGGAGAGCGTTTAAGCTGATGTCCAAGAGTGTCAGGGTCAGAAGCAAGTCAAATGCAATGTGCTTTTCATGAATTTGAAAGGCTTGTATTGGAGGTGCCTTAGTAAACCAAAAGAACACTGCTTCCAGATTCAAAAGCTAAACACTACATTGCAGATCCATTCTAAAAGGCTTCTAAACACATGACAGAATCAAAAAACAAAAGTCTGAGTACAGAAGCTGTGACGTATAAAACCCTGCAGCAAAACGTTCTATATATTTAGCACATTTAAGATCTGTGGTGTCGGCCCATACTAGGCCCATACTGGGCCAGGCCTGGATCTGTGGAAAGACTTTGAAAACCCCCAGCCTCGGCTTACAATGTTTGCGACTGTCTCTTGTTACATTAAAAACACAAATCATTTCCCAGCACACATACCAACTAGCTTGCAAAAAAGCTTACAGTGTTTCACAACTTGCGTTAAAAACAGGTTTTATTGGCACAACCTTTGCAAAATACGTTGAAGCGACACTGCCTCGTCAAGGTTCCTCTGTGTAGTGTGATCTTAACTTTAAATCTATAAAAACCTCCATCTTTGAGCATATATAGCAATGGACAAATTGAGTACAGGTATACCCGCAGAGCCCATGTCTTACATGAACACAATTTATACTCTTGTAAGAATGCAAGCATACACAAAATCCATGTTCTTTTTAATGATATATACAGTTACTTTTTGGGAATTCTATTGGCAAAAGTAAATTTGTGGCCATTTGGGTTTGAATCTTTTAGAGCCTGTAGGGATTCTTTTTCACCTGTATGGAAAGCTTTTTTTAAAAGGAGCCTTGGCTTTTATAAAGTTTACCCACCCAATGGCACTAAATAAAAAGATCATGTGACCTGGTTTGAGGGAGTAGTAAGCCTTACCAGTGCCTCTGCCATCCTAAAATCAGTCCCTATATCTCCAGCTAATTAATGATGTTTGGTATTTATTAAGTATTCCTATCTCTCTATCTATTCTACCTTCCAAACATATGCAACCATAGAACCGTAAGATGCCAGCAATGGTATAACAAGTTTGCAGATGCAACAAACTGAAGAATTTTTACTTTGACTATTCTCCAGGTGTTTTATAGAAAAGGACCAGGAGCTGGCACAGCTGTGAAAGAGACGCCAGAGATGGAAAGAGTGAAGAACACGCAGATGAATATCAGCTCAGTACGTTGGGTCACAAAGTGTGATTAGTTAAATATTTTTCTAATTAACACAATCAGTAACTATATAAAGGTAAACTATATAAAGAGAGAGAGAGCGCACCACATGTTTGTCAAGTGATCTCTGTCATATGCAAAAGGAAATGCTGAGCAGTGTTACAATTATAATGAAGTGAATGTTGCCTGTGGGTAGCATTTACTCATTTGTGCTTCCATGGATTGTTGCAGGTGAAGTATAAAGATGAAATCGGACCTGCGACAGCCATACCCGACCTGCCGGAAAACAGGAGAGTAAAAGAGATCCAGAAGAACATTAGCAATGTAAGAGAAATTGAACAGTCTAATTTAAGAAGCTTTGTATTGAAGACTTCCTGGTGCTATGCTGACCCAGACGCTTTACTGTTGATTGACAGGTCCGTTATAAAGAGCCTCTGAGAAAAGCCACTCCAGTCAGCATGACGCCAGAAATGGAACTGGCTAAGAAGAACCAGGAGCATTTCAGCACGGCAAGAGCGTGTGCCATAGATTGATATTCCAATTAGCCTTTACTCTTGCAACACAGTACACTTCCAGGGGTTTTTGCTTTTTGGCACCTATAGTTCATTAAAGTAAACCTGTGCCTATGTAGGGAAAAGCAATGGATTTGCTTTATTATCCTCCAAAGCAGCATATACTTACCTCTCCTTCACTCCCAAGCTGCTCTGATCAGCCGCTAGGAACAAAGACAATACCCGGTAGTTCAGGGGGTGTAGACAAGCATGTGACTCACTTCAGGTACAGAGCTGAGCCAATCCACAAACTCCAGTGCTGTAACATGGGGAGAGTCTATAGCCTTGATTAAGCTATGGCCCATAGCCTACACAGAAAAGAATGCTAATGAACACCTTAACTTTCCATTTATTGTATCTTACACCATGTACCATTTCTTAAAGGTTTGTAAAATATGCAATTGTTCTGCCAGAAATCTTGTGAGCTAATAGCTTCCTGTGCTGTCTGCTTATGCTGACTGTTAACAGTTACACTGTTCCCAGTAATCTCTGAGGACTACAAATCCTGTCCCCCATCTTATGGAGAAAAGGAGATGGGAAAAGTTTTTTTTTGTATAGTTCTGTTTAAGGGTGACAACACTGCTTCTCTATAGATATAATATAATGAGCTAGTGCAAACATAGGGCAGGAAGTGTGTTACTGGCAGGATCACTTCGTGAAATGAAAACCTAATGCAGCCACCACATCTAAGGACTGGCACGCTGCAAGTTATTAAATGTTTAGATACACTTTGATGCATACCTGTAAACCTGTAATCTAAAGTACAGCTAAAGGCTCATGTATGATATTCCAAACAAATACCTAAGCCAGTTACTATGTCATGTACAAGCCTCATAAAGTAAACAAAAACTTTCTTTACCTTCTTTACTTTCTTCGGCCGAATGCTGCTTCATTTGTGTTTTACATACTCCCCCTCCCAGACACTGCAGGTAATAGTGGGAGGGTTTCTAGGGAGCCGGGGGCAGGGCTAGGTGTGGCCAGGTGCTGATTGACAGCTGCATGGTTTGTGAATTAGTAGTGACAATGATGATGGCCACACCCCCTGCAACATTTTTTTCATGTCACCATATTGCAAGCAGGCACAGACTATACGAGAGTGGCAACTCTGTCTGAGTTCAGGAACAGAGCAGCATTGTTGCCACCCCATCACCGGAAGCTGCCTTTAGGTGGACTTCACTGGAAGAACCAACATGTATTTGTAGGACTAGAGGAAGACTTGAAGTGTTGCAGCACATATGTTTTTGAATTAGAGGCTATAGTTCTACTTGAGCTAGGTTTGCCGCGGGATGGGAAAGATTGACAGTACTTGAGTTATGATTTTTTTTCATTGATAAAAAATGTGTACATTTGCAGCTGCTGACATTTTTTGCAGTACATCTGGGCTGGGCCAGCTTATTTGCCGGCTGAGGCGGCCAGGAGAACAGGGGAGTGGTGGGGGGTCTGGGGAAAGCTGTCAACCGGGCAGGAGGTGGTGGCTGGCCGAGCTGTCGGGTGGGGAAGGGGGGTTGCTGTTGGTTGCCTATGGTGCCTTCCCCAACACCTGCCGCCCCCTCAATGAGATGTCGCCTGAGGCTACCGCCTTGGGCTGCCTCATTATGGGAACGCCTCGGCATCTGGGTGTTGCTGACATCAATGCTCTCATCCAGTGTCCAGGAGATGAGGACAGGTAAGGCACCTAGCTCTATATAAGGCTGGACTCACATTGTATAGCATCTACCCTTACAGAGGCCTCCTACCTGTCCTCATCTCAAAGGCTTTACGTTGCTGTCCAGGAAGGTTTATTATAAAGACAGAGCAGACACATTCATGCCACCTGTTACCAACAAGGGCAAGACTCAATTTGAAATTCTACCATGAATTCATCAATGTGGGGAAAAAAATATTTCATATTCTTTAAATTGTATCTGTTCAAGAATATTAATTGTCATCAGGCGATAAAGATGAACTCTAGACAAATTATTGCAATCAATAAACCATTTTCATTTTTAATGTAAGCAGTGTAAGTATCTAAATATGACCTGGTGTCTTCAGCCTATTACAATCACCTGTACAGCACAGCTCCTATTGGGACAAAGAGAAGCAGCACAAGGAGTCAGTCAGTTGTACTGCAGTAATGCTGATAAGAGGAGAGAACAGAGTGATGAGCTCACCACTCTGCTGCTTCTCCTTTCACTGGGGGAGGGACAAGATCTATAACTGGAGCGGTAAAAAAAACAGTTCTCCTCCTCTGCCAAACAAAGCTGTGCTGTGTGTGTGGCAGAACTGTGATAATCTCAGGATGGGATGGACAGAAAAATACATTTTTCCAGAGGAAAAAACAACTTCCTTATGTGGTTTCATCTGTACATAAAGCCGTTTGCTTGGAGTTTCATTGATGTGGGCACACAGAGCACCTGAAGTTATTTTACAGTGTCCAAGAAGTCCGAGAAACCATTGCACCTTGTTATGCCATTACAGATTTGTTCTTTGTGCTGCTTCTCCCTCATCCAGGTTGAGTTCTGCCATAAAGGTACTGATACCAGGTGAGATGTAGGTACTTAAATGAGTTGCTTTAACAGTTGTTATTATTTTTCAAATGAACACATACCTACATGAACCAGTGATTTTTTATCTGCCCGTAGTTCAGCTTTAATGAGTGGTGTGCTATCGACAGCTGTATGGTAAATCCCATGTTATAATTGAATGTAATTTCTTTCTTTTTTTAGGTTCACTATAAAGAGAAAGTTGGGAAGGTCACAGCAGTCAGTTTTACTCCGGAGATGGAAAGAGTTAAAAGGAACCAAGAAAATATTAGTTCGGCAAGTTGCCCTTGATGTGCTGTACATTAGAGGATAGAGGAAGGTAGACTGCATGCATCATAGCAGTGTGGCTGTGACTTTACTAAAAATGGGCACTTCACAGATGCGGATGCTGGAGGTGTTTTGTTCAGGAGTCCTAATTCCTAATCTAACATTATGCTGAAATCAGTTTAAGGGCCCACCCGAAGCATTGTGGCTGCACTGTTTTTCTAGTGCAGCTACAATGCAAAACTGGGCAATTTGCCTTGTTCCAGATGTGTGCAGCTCACACCACCACATTGCAGTGGTATGGACTAGAAAACCGTATGGCATACAGTACTTTTTTTCAGCGCATGACACCTCCTTGTGCCCATAGAACTTAATTAAATGTCTCTTGTGACATTTCAATAAAGTTCTAACAAAAAAGTAAATAGTGCAATACGTCTCGATCAGAGCATCAGCACCATGCCAGGCACATGCACATGCACACCAGCAGCTGTGCAGTGTAGCAAGGCTGCTGGTGTGAATGGACCCTAATACATTCCAGGAGTCCCAAAACAAAAGGAGATCAAACCCCTGCACTTTGTTTTTGGAAAACAGCCACAATAATAGAGTAGAAAAGCCTGTTCCCTGTCAGCATGCTTGTCCTCTGTGTGGAAGCACTGGCCTCTCTGCAGAGGTCAAGCACACTCCCTGCCAAGTAAGAGCCAGAGGTTTACAATCAGCAGGTAGTGTGAGCTTAGCAGATTGCAGATCTAAAGGTTTGACTTAGCAGGGGGCATGTCGGAGCTCTGCAGAGAAACATGTCGGACCTCTGCAGAGAAACCACTGCTCCTTCACAGAGAGCAGGTGTCTTGTCAGAGAACAGGCTTTTCTCCTCAGGCTGTGGGTGCTTAAGGTGCCTATACACTGGCCATTTTTAATGTACTGGATGAAATTCGCACAGTGTGTGGGGCTGTTGGCTCCCTTTCAGTCGGCATTCCACGATCACCTGATGGAAGGAGCCTGCTGGAAAATCTCTGTGAGATCAGACCCGGCAGCCAATGAGCTGCCCGCTCTGATCGGGTATTCTGACAGGTGCCAGTGGAAATTGGCAGGTGTATGGGTAATACATTGAACACCTTTTGGTTTAATGCACCTGAAATGTATTTAGCTGTTTGAAACGGGAGGTTCAATTGGGCTTCAATCCTGTTGTCTGGGAACTATTGGCAATAGATCTAGCAATGGATCAGATGTTTACCTAGCTTCTAGCAGAAAATGATATGCTTGGATTTTATAACCAACAGCCAGGCTTTGCACCAGTTGTTATCCACAATTAGGTAATTTTTCATGGGGTTGTAATGATATTAGTGAAGTGTGTCCTTAGCGATTAGATATAGGAGTAGCAGATTTCAGTGCAAGAATAAGAGCTTTTGGTGCCAATTTCAGCATAGGACAGTCTAATAATTTTAATGGCCAATAGGATAATTATAGCAGTACAAAATTCAGGGCAGGTCAGGGCTCTTTTCTTGTGTGTGCCAAAGCCTCTCTGAGAAATACCAGCACCGAAAACCAACATACTGGGAGATACCACTAACACACTTAAGGTGCCCATACACCTTACATATATCTGCAGATTTTCTGTGGTCAGATGGAAAAAGTGCAACAGATTGGCCCAGGTGGAGATTACTCCATCCACACAGTTGGAGATTACTCCATCCACACAGTTAAGTGTAGATGGAGGAATCTGTTGCACCTTTTCCATCACAGAAAATCTGCAGATAATTGTAAGGTGTATGGCCAGCTTAAGACTCATGTCTTATGGTATGATATATCACCAGCAGCATTATTACATCTTGCTCACTTGGAAGGAAGCAGCAACCTAGCAGCATCTCTGTGGTCCGGCTAGCCAAGGAACCACCACATATCAATAGGTATGTAGTCTGTTAGTGAAGGAACCACTACATATCAGCAGGTATGTAGTCTGTTAGTGAAGGAACCACCCAATATAAACAGGTATGTAGTTTGTTAGTGAAGGAACCACTCCATATCAGCAGGTATGTAGTCTGTTAGTGAAGGAACCACTCCATATCAGCAGGTATGTAGTCTGTTAGTGAAGGAACCACTCCATATCAGCCGGTATGTAGTCTGTTAGTGAAGGAACCACCCCATATCAACAGGTATGTAGTCTGTTAGTGAAGGAACCACTCCATATCAGCAGGTATGTAGTCTGTTAGTGAAGGAACCACCCCATATCAACAGGTATGTAGTCTGTTAGTGAAGGAACCACTCCATATCAGCAGGTATGTAGTCTGTTAGTGAAGGAACCACTCCATGTCAGCAGGTATGTAGTCTGTTAGTGAAGGAACCACTCCATAGCAGCAGGTATGTAGTCTGGTAGTGAAAGAACCATTCCATAGCAGCAGGTAGCTATGGAATCCTGCCGCTAGTGCATAGACCATAGTGAAAGATTGGTCATGCCATACTTTTACCACAGACACCGGCATTAACTGGCACTCCTGCATATCTCCTCCCCAGATCTAATTGTTCAGGGGCTCTGCTCTGAGTCTTTGTGGTACTTCAACATATTGTTAAAGCCCTGATGAAGGGGGTTTGTCTGACCCCCATTGACTTCCAGTCAGGGGCGGATCCAGAGTCTATTCTCGGGAGGGGCACTGCCAGAAAATTAAGTAGATCCCTGGATGCAGACAAGCCCAGCCTCCTGTCTCCCACACTGTCAGAAACTGCATACAGCGTGTGCTGGTTACTACTTAAAACGGCACGCTGTGTGCAGCTTCTGAGAAAAAACGCTATTAGCATAGCGAGGAAGCCGGCTGCGCATTTTGCATCACTCACGCTACGCTAATAGCGTATCTTCTCAGAAGCTGCACACAGCACGGCGGTTTAAGTAGTAACCAGCATGATCTGTAGGCAGCTTCTGACAGCGGGGGAGACGGGAAGCTGGGCTTGTCGGTGGATCCAGGGATCAGGGGAGTATTAAAAACAAAAATGTGTTATTTTATGTTCCTGGGGACATGTAGGGCTCATTCACACTGGAATCGGCCGGCACGTACAGCTCCGTGCTGTGTGCACAGCCGTATCGGGCAGCTCCCGGGAAGGACAGGTGCTGCGTATGATTAGTATGCAGCCCCTGTCCTTCTCTATGGGTGTATGCAGCCGTACACCCCCCTACGCTCACCCGCCCTGCACGTTTGTGCGGGTGCATGTTTCCTTGCTCGGACGCAGACACGATCCATCCTGTCAGCATACGGGTACGCTCACCCACACCGATGTACAGGACGGGTGAGCGCAGGGTGGCGTACGGCCGCGTAGTCCCATAGAGAAGAATGGGGGCTGTGTACTAATCACATGCAGCACCTGTCCTTCCCAGGAGCTGCCCGATACGGCCATGCACGCCGCACGGAGCTGTACGTGCGGGCCAATTCCAGTGTGAATGAGCCCTTAAAAATGTTCCTGGATTTAAAAAAAAACTGGTCACCTTACCCTGGTGGTCAGTGGGGGCTCTGGTTGGTAGTGAGGGCTCTCGGGGCTCTGGTTGGTAGTGAGGGCTCTCCTGTGGCCGCAGCAACCAGTTTGCCCGCAGGAGATCCCGTCACTGAACCCCCTGCGCTAAATGAAGCCCCCGGCCGCAGGTGCAGTGGCTCCCTCCACCGCCTCTCTGCCACCTGCACCGCTACAGATGCGGCTCTCTAATCGCGCAGCCGCTCGCTTCTCAAGGGTATACCGAGGCGATTCGGGCTGGCTGGAGCAGGCAGATGTGGCCCTCTAATCATGTATGTTAGACAGAACTCCTCCCGAGTACCCCTTGAGGAGTGAGCGGCCGCACGATTAGAGAGCCGCATCTGTAGCGGTGAGCCTTGGCGGACAGTGGAGGGGAGTGGTCACAGGAGAGGGTCCTCATTCACGCTGACCCACATACGGGTATAGGCTCCGCCCCATGACGGGTATAGGCTCCGCCCCATGACGCGTATAGGCTCCACCCCATGCCACGTATAGGCTCCGCCCCGCCAGGCTAACAGTGATCACTGTCAATGACAGGCAGCCGCCTGTTGTAACTCTCAATAGTTCTATTTCATGAGGATTGCTCGTGTGACATGGGCCTAAATCACCTTTCAATGAGAGAGGAAATGGCATCATGTAAGCTTTTATATTACTAAGGGTATATGGGGCAGCCTTATTTGCTTATTCCACTGCATGCTGTACAGAGATAGTACTTAAAGGCCATTGCTAGCAGATGTTTCTGTTATGGAGCCATTTGTGATATATGATTTGCGCATACTTACATATCTAATATGTGTTTCTTACAGGTGAAGTACAGCAGTGATTTGCAGCAACTGAAAGGTAGACCTAGTGTCATTCTGGATACACCAGAATTGAGACATGTGAAAGAAACACAAAATAAAATATCAATGGTAGGAAGCAGCGTATTTCTCCAGTTTGCACATGTTTCACTGTCACCTTATACTCATAAACCACGTTGACTATCCTCACTGGGACAAGTTCACAGCTTTGCGATGCCTAAAATAGTAAGCTTCACAGGAATGCAGAATATAACAACTGAAACCTAATAAAATGTGTTCACTAACTTGCTTTTGTGGATTTTTTTCATTAACACAAATAGACTGAACCTGACACAGAGTGAGCGTGGTGCATGGTGTGTGACCATCTGCATGTCTGAATAAGTGTGCATCAATTCGGTGAAATTGGCCTTGATTTTATAAGAGAAATCCACCGTTATCCCTAGCAACCAATCAGAACATGACCATCCCTAATGTGACTGTGCTAAACCTGACTGGTTACTATGGATTACAGCACATCCATTGCCTTTACTGTACACTGAAAAGTATATAACCTTTGTTATGTTCTATTTATATGTTGTGATCACAGTAATATAATGTCTGTTTCAAAGGGACTAATTGGGTTAATTTAGATTATTTAGCACATATTGATAAATGTGGCAGAATATTTGTAAATTAAAGAGTTAGTCTACCCAAAAGTTGTATTGAAAGCTGAACTCTAGGGGCAAAACTTATTAAAATACACATTCTCAAAAGCATATAATTTAAACAATATTTGCTATTCCCAGAGTTTAGCTTTAAGGTAGTATTACATTCTTTTTTTTTTACATATTTACTGCTAGCAAGCAGTAGATGTATGCAAAAAATAAAAAAAGTTAACAAATAGGTAAATACTTACCTCTGTCTCTGCCGCTCGCTCCTGGCTGAAGATCTGAAGCTTCTAGAGCGGCCGTGCTGGATGATGCGGCGCGCACATGCGCAGTAGATATCATCAGCGGGGGGAAGAGGCGAGACATAGCGCAGGTGCATGCAGCTGTGGGGATACACGTCGGACAGACACCGTGGGACGCGAGCGGTGTTTGCTAGATCAGAGACCGGCACCAGCACTGGAGGGACTCCTGAAAACTCCTGGAAAGAAGAAGATGATCGGATCAAGAGGCATCATTTAAGGTAAGTAATTAAAGCAGCATTGGGCGGAAATTGTGACTTTAATGTCACTTTAGGTCACATACAGAAGGCTAAAGCTGACCATACACTATACAAACTTCATCAAGAAATTCTCACAGTGGGTGCCGCCGTTAGCACCCTTTCGGTTGACTTTTCTCGATCAGCTGATTGAAAGAGCCAGTAAAAATTTTTTTAAATCAAGAGAGCCAGCAGCTAATGAGCCCAGCAGCCAATCTACCACCCCTAGGTCAGTGCTTAGTCTCATTAGGATGTTCCAAGGTCCATATGCTTGTCCTAGTGTTAGGGAGCATTATTGAAAATTCTTTCGGAACACTGAGACTTACCTGCTGCAGTAGGATGGCTCCATGGTTTAGGGAGCAGAGCTGGGAGTCATCACTTCTAGACCCTTTATAAGCCAGTGTTTGGTTCAGCAGACTTCAACAGACAACCTGGTACCGAATCCTGTTCTGGGTGGATTGACTATTTAATTGAAGCTCTACAATTTATAAGTTATACCATATTTGTTAGTCCCATTGAAAATAATTTCAGTCTGTAATTTTAAAAAATATATTTTCAGATTAAATACCATGAAGATTTTGAGAAGACAAGAGGCAGGGGTTTCACCCCGGTGGTAGATGATCCAGTGTTGGAGCGAGTAAGAAAGAACTCGCAGATTGTCAGCGATGCCGCTTATAAGGGAGTTCACCCTCATGTAGTGGAGATGGACAGGAGACCGGGGGTAATTGTGGGTGAGTTTTAATAAAATAATCTCCTTTTTTATATTTTTAATGTTCAACTGTCTTCTAGATAGGAGGCGGACAACCAATATTAATGAGAATGTATCAATGGAGTTGATGTAGAGGAAAAAGATCTGCCAAGTGGAGGTATTGGTACGCTTTCAACTAGGTGGTAAACATAAGATTGAGTTGATGGGATTTTGTTTGCTTCAGAACGGATTCTCTTCCCATACAAGTCGATGGGAATGAAAAACCAGTTGAAAGCAGGTTGATGCAGCTTAGAAGGACAGAAAGAAGAGTGTGCTGGTGCTACCTGTGGGTCCAGCGACTCTATCTGGCGTCCCGCCCAGCTCAATGACGTCACTCGTTGCTGATAGCTCCTGGCAATCATTGACTTCAGTAAGCTGGACGGGCAGCCGTCTATAGTGTCGCAGCTTGCTAAGAGCTTAGCAAGTTGGGACGCTCTGGTTGCCCCCCCACACCTGCCGCCTCCCCATGTGACCCAATGAGATGCTGCCTGAGGTAACGGCCACTACCAAAACCTTGAAAAAGAGAAGACCCAATCCCCCATAACACATTAGATATGTTTTATGTTGTACACCAATAGGCCTCATTCACACTGTAATCGGTCGGCATGTACCCGCCCTGCACGTCCGTAGGGGTGCATGTTTCCTGACTCGGACGCAGACAGGATCCATCCTGTCAGCGTACGAGTACGCTCACCCGCACGGACGTGCAGGGCGGGTGAGCGTAGGGGGGCGTACGGCCGTGTACTCCCATAGAGAAGGACAGGGCCTGAATGCTAATCACACGCAGCACCTGTCCTTCCCGGGAGCTGCTCGATACGGCCTGCACAGAGCTGTACGCTCCGGCCGATTACAGTGTGAATTAGGCCATAAAGTGAATAAAGGCAGCCTGCAGTTATTTGGGACTACAAATTCCATAATGCACTGCAAGACTCTTTTTAGAAAAAAATGTTGTAGAAATTCTAAAACAGGCTACTGCTGTATCCCTCTAATACCTGCTTGATTACCAGAGCTTGGGTAAACATGGACTCTAGTCCTGGATTCAGTGACACATCAGACTGACACAAAGCAAAGGTTGCAGAGTTTTGTCTTCTTCCATGAAGTTCTATACATCTATACATTTAATATGTCTACTGCTATTTTCTTTTTTTGACTTTCACTATCTCTCTCTTCTCTCCTGCTATTTTTCATTGTGCATTTTATTTTCTCATCAAAAGACCTTAAAGTTTGGCGCACTGACCCAGGCTCCATCTTCGACATTGACCCGCTGGAGGACAATATTCAGTCTCGGAGCCTCCGTATGTTAACGGGTATAGCAAATCAATGTTGTTATTTGCGTTCCAGAGCAAACACATTGTTATGGTATCTATGACCATCTTCACTAAAAGAGTAGCCCAGTGTAGTACATCATTTTATAGTAACTTTTTTATGGGGAGTTAATTTTGTTGTTAAGCTAGATGCTAGAACATATTCAACATACTATAAGTAGATACAAGGCTTTTTATATATTGTTAAGAGGAAATAAAACTGCTAACGATAACAGTCAAATTTCTTTAGTATCTCTTTAGTGTGCCATAGATTGTTAATCCAGACTAACAGTTGCAGATCGGACTGCTGAAGTTTCTTCTGCAGAGCTGACATTGCATGCTTATTGAGTGCTTTGCAGGGCTTGCTAGATCTGACCACCGTCTGATGCCTTTGGGTGGTATAAACCCATGTTTAACCCAAGGCCACCCTCAGCGCTCTGCTCGATCGTTTCAAATAAAAGCAGCTGGAGACATACCGTTTAAATGTTTTCTTTATTTCAGCCCATATTCAGACCAGCAGTTTTGGTTGGATTTTGCCTTACAGTGGTCCTAGGGGAGGACTGGGCTGGGGGTAGGCCAGTAATAAGATTATGTTTGACTAGTGGCTCTGAGTAGAAATTCTTCACCATTCAGACCATTGATCAGTGTGGGACCCGCTGTCATTGACACAAATGCAGGCGTTATATGGTTACATGCTCTCTATTAAGCCCTGCAATCGTAGTGTGTGGCAAAGGGAAGTCTTCCAGCACTCTTTCTTTGTGGCTCAGTTGTCATGTGACGGAATGGCAAAAAACACAAAGCTGATGCTGGAGGATGTAAAAAGGTGTGTCACCATTCACCATTCCCACAAATCACTGCAGAACCATGAAACACATTGCATGGTACACTTTCTTTAGCACCAAAGAAATACATGACTACCATGAGATTGCCACTAGGCCCCCCAGGTGAAATGTTCCCAGTTCTCCCCTATGGTGGACCTATGCTCAAATGCTCCATGAAAGCCTTGCTGTGATGGATAAATAAAGAGTAATATACTGTATGTGCTAAAATACTTACCTTTCTTGGGGAAATGCTATAGGCTTCCCCTTGGGCTGGTCACAATATGACAGAAAGCCTAGTTATTTGGTGATCTGCTGAAGGAGAAAATTCAGCTACAGGTTGGCTGATCCTCACCTTCAGCAGAGTTCACATGGCCAAAAGTAGCATTTTTTTTCAAGGAAAGAAAGTATCAAGAAATGAAATAATGTATTTATCAATTCCAAGAAGATTTCTACAAACTAGAACCCCAATCAAAAAATGTCTTGTCTGTTTTGGATAGAGCAGATTAGAGATTAGAATCTCTGCCACGTATTAAAGCTCCGTTCACGCATTAGCGTTTTTCCTTGCGTATTCGTACGCAAAGCACAAAAACTAATACATTCTAATGTAGCTTGTTCACACCTGAGTGTCAGACATGTGGCACAAAAACGTGCATCATGCAAAAAAGTACTAAATATGTGTACAGTATGTAAAAATGTGCACATTTTCATGCCGCGCAGACCTTCTGGTGACCTTCTAAAGTAAGTGAATCTTCTCAATAGGGACAGAGACAAGAGTAAAAACCTTACAGAAGTTCTAATCCTTCTCCACATTTGGGCTGGAGTTTCACTTCCAGTTACCATTTCGGTACAGATCTACATTAAAGGCCCATTCAAAGGAGATCTTGTGCTTTGTGTTAATAGATGCTTAATAACACTTAAAGTTGTGTCGCATGTTATCATGCATTGCATTAAGGCAGACCATTGGCTGGCAATGCACAAGAATGGACAAAAAAAAATATACATAGGGTCCTTTTCTGATGCAGTGTGCCACAATCCATGGTAATGCATCACTGTGTGTTGGGGTGCACTGCACGGGTGCTTTGTTACCTTAGCACAATGAGGTGCCATTCAAACTAAATAGCACCACAATACCCCAAAGCATGTAACGTGCGTTACCGATGCATTTCGGTAATGTGCGAGTTAATGTGTGATTCGACCCTAGCTGTTGAATCTTCTTGGAAGAACCTAGGGCTATGCCCCAATCTATGCACAACCAATCAGATTTTGAGTTTTTTTAAAATGCTAGAATCTGCAATATAAAAGTGATGTGATTAAGGTACCAGATCCAAGATCCCTTTAGGCCCCGTTCACATATAGCGAATTGTCGCGCGATTTCCGCCGCGATATCGCGCATTTTTGCCGCGCGATATCGCGAGAAGTCGCCGGCCAATGTTATTCAATGGAGCTGTCTTAACTCCATGTCGCGCGTCGCTCGTCGCGGTCGCAAGTCGCTTCTACCGGACCCTTTTTTCGGCGGATTTTGCGCGATTTTACTTTTTTTCTATGGAGCCCGACGGGGAAGGTCGCGCTACCGTCGCTGGATCGTCGCTGGAACGTCGCCCCGAAAGTCGCGCTATCCCGGCCGTGCGGATCCGCTGCAAAAGGTATGTCGCTATATGTGAACGGGGCCTTAGACTAGTTCAGTGTACTTGGGCATGTGTTAGGTGACAGGCTGTCAACACATCTCCTTAATTACTGAAATAATTTTTTTTAGGATAGGTGGTTAATGAAAATGTTTTGGACTGAGTAGGTCTGTCAGGTCCCAATTACTGTCTGTGTCACCCCCCGGCAGATTTCACCTAATTTCCTGTCCCGGTGACTATCATCTCCGTGATAAAAAGCAAAATCTACAACAAATCTAAAATGTTATATTTTTTACTGGAACAGGAGATGAGGGAAGATCTCCCAGCCGGGTCACCTGTTCCAGTGACAATTATCAAAATTCCCCTAACTTTGGGGAGATTTATTTTCCTTTCTTGTCTGTTGTCTTGGACACAAATAAACATGCACAGAAAAAAACCCTAAAACTTAGCAGAGGTCCCCATTCCACCAAAAACTAGATCTGAAGGCTGAACTCTAGGCTAATATGAAAGAGACTCATTAATGCAACTCGGTGTTCAATAATACATAATCAAAGGCATTTTTTTTAAAAGTGCAAGCAGTAAAAATATGTGATGTGACCTGATATCAGCTTCTTGCACGCGTAACAGCAGAGCGCAGACCTGGGGAGGAGGAAGAAGCAGTCAGTCTTGTCAGACAGGCAGTCAGTCAGCTGTGCTGCAGTGCTCATGTACTAGCAAGAGACCAGAGTGACAGAGAGATGAGCTTATCAGTCTGTTGCTTCTCCTTTCACTGTCCAGTCATAGGCTGGGAGAGGGACAAGACCAGCAAGTACTTCTTTACTGCAGCAGATCATAAACTGGTCTCCCCCCCTGCTAGACATGGATGTGTTATGTGGCAAAACTGTGCAACCCTCAGGACAGGATAGACATATGCATAGACTTTGGCAGATAAAACAACACCCTTTTATGTATTTTAATTCTGTATATTGCTTTTTGCCCAGAGTTCAGCTTTAAATAAAGTTAGTGCTTTACTTATATTGAAAGAAGAGCTCCAGGATTTCTTTTTATTAATCCTTGCAGCTCGGCTAACCCCGCACTGCAAGGGTTAACTGTTCGTTTTTGTCTAGACCCCCCCCCCCAAAAAAGATATATTCACCCAAAACTCCGAGCCAGCTTATTTTTAGACCATTCCCTGGAATGTCTCCCCCCGCAGCGGTCTGAGGTCAAGTAAATCATCACGTCTATACACTGTGCATAGGCATGAGGACGCTGAGGAACATTCCAATGTGCTGCGAAGAAAGAGACAGGCTGGAGGGACCACCATAACAGCTGTCTGGCTCGGAGCTTTGGGTGAGTATATCATTGTTATTTACCTAGACACAAGCACTTAAAGGAGCACTAAACTCTTGCAGTGTGGGGGTAGCCCCACTGCAAGGGTTAATTAAAACAATTCATGGAGTTCTTCTTAAAGAGCCCAGGGATCTGTGTAATTCACGCAAATCAGTAATTAATGGGATATGTTGGAAATGTTTTCCTTCTTATTGATCTTATATCATATTGTTACTTTATTTTGTTTCTGTTACTGTGTGTGCTTCTCAGTGTTCATGCAGTTGCAGTCACAATGGATTTTGTTCATTTCCAGATAGAGCGAGCCATGGCACCAGGCACTCCTGTCACTCTGCTGGCCTGGCTGCAGTGAGTCAGGGTGATGACAGGTCAGAGATGTCAGAGATGAACCCTAGTTTCTCTTACTGCAGTGAGGGAACAAGGGCATCTGATGAAAGAGGTAACCGATACTGACTGGTTCAGGTTTAAGGCAGCTGTCCTTCTTCATTGAATGCAATCTTTGTCAGGTGACAGGTTCCTTTGATGACCCATCCGTTCTTCCACTGATACCTACTTTCCCAATGATTGCCTGCTGCTCTGTTCATTTATCCGACCCCAGAGTAGAACTTCCTATATGAGCAGGGCCATGAGTCACATGGGGGGACGGGAGGATTTGCCTGCCGCCCCTTTCCGGGCAGAGCATCCCAGGTTGCTAAGCACTGCATTGTGGGAGGAAAGGGAAAAGATCACATGATATCCCATATTCAAAAGTACTGGCTATTTCTCCGGTTTCATGTGGGCAAATAGTACAACGGGGAAGCATGGCCGGGGGGGTTTTAGCAAGGGGGAAGCTTCTCAAGAGAACTTGTCACCCACTACGAATGGAACAGGCAGTCAGTGCCTCAGAAAGAACTGAAGCCATTAAACCAATATGGCATTCAGTCAACTTGAGAAGGGAAGGTCCGGAATATAAGCCTATACACTTCCTTAGTGTATAGCATTCCTTTAAATGCTTATGATAGGAAATGTTTGACACAAAGAAAGGTTGTAGTTCGCCTTATATTTGACAGTTGTTCAATTCTTCAGGGTTATGTACCAAGGACGGCTGCCTTAAATCAGAGTGACACCTGAGTGCTGTGTTGGGCTTCACCTGTAACAACCACTAACATTGAGTTAAGACATGTTCCAGTCATGGTTAACACAATTAACAGACTTACTAAAATAAGGGCTGGACAAATCCCAGCAGCCAATGCCCCTTCAGAATTAAAGCTGGTTTTAAAATGTGGTTTGAAGATAATACGATACTTCCTTTTGTGGTATTTTTTACTAGCCAATTAAATCATTTTTGTTATTATTATACCACCTCTGTTTCTTCTGTTTATTCAGCACTTTTTGATTCCAGAACATGGTAAAAATTAGCTGCACCCATTTCTGCCCAGACAAACATTTTTTGGGGAGAAAATAAATAAGATAAAGCACCCAGTTACTTTCTGCAACAAAAAAAGATAAAGCACAAAGAGTGCAGCTGTTTGAAACAAATGCAAAATGAAACTTGCAGTACCAGATCTACACCATTTTTTAATATATTTTGCATACTTTCACTCCTCTCTCCCTTTCTTTTCTTCCTCTCTTTATCTCCCTCTGTCTTTCATCTCTGGAAAAGTATATATAAACCCCAAAACAAATATGTAATATATTGCAGTTTAGCAATCCTTAGATTTGGTGGCTGCATTAGTTTTTATTTTTTCCTTTATCACCTGACATGATTTGATGAGTTTGTTATGGAGGAAATGGAGTGGCCTGCACAGAACCCAGGCTTCAACCCTACTGAATACTTTTGGGATGAATTGGGTGATACTAGTGATTCTGCCAGTAATACACTTCCTGTCTTAGAATGACAATGCTCACTCACCCTTCTTATTTAGACAACAGAATTAAGATAGGACTATGGGATCCTCACCTTTTTTCCTGTTATCCATAACTTAGAGGGATGTGGTTCTGTAGTCTTTAAGCTGGCCATAAGATTTTTCTAATTCAGAAAAATTACTCGTTTCCCCCATCCACACTAAAAAGCGTGGATGGAGAAATCTCCCCTGCCGGCTATTGTATGCCGACAGCCAGGTGCTCTTAGTCATTATTTATCATTATTGGTCCTTTATGTACCTAAAAGTTTACTGTCTTGGATTTGATCTCTGTGCACATTTTTAAATATTTAAAGACCTTTTCTGTTGTTTGGTGCTTTCTAAATGTGAACTGATCAGATGACTTCTGGCTTGCTTGTTTACCTAACCTTTATAATGATATGTAATTGGTTTAATTTCATTTAATTTGCATTGTTACAGTGTTTGTATAATGTCCTCTCCTAGTTGATATACAGTATTTAGCATTAGCATTGGTTTGTTATGCAAAGAAGCTGAAAGTACATCCTAAGCAACCCAACAAGAAAGTATACCTTTGATTTTTACCATTGCACACCTTTCTGTTTTATTAGGTGTATTATTTCACTGATTTTTTCTATTCCATGTCCCATGAATACAGACAGCTTTCTTCTCTGTCTTCATAAAGTCTACATCCCTATACTCGCATGCAGTCCTGAGCTATGGCTAATGAGAAGCAGAAAATGTCACAGACTCAGGCGACCAAAATGAGTTTTCTGTAGGAAATTGCTGGTTTACTGTCTGATAAAAGTGCGGATTGTGAAAGTTTAGGGGTGCCTTAAAGTCAATCCATTGATCCTGCATATCAAGAGATGCCAGTTGAGGCAGTATGGGCATCGCATACAGATGATCTCTGGGAGGTGTACTAAGAGCTGTGTAATGGATGACACCTGGCAAAGGAGTGTGTTATAATTATCAATGAACAGCTAAAGACCGGCTTGGCAAAGGAAATTCCAGAATAAGCTTTCATTCTCCTTTAAAGGACCAAGCTGAAAATGAATGAGGCATTTTGTATGCTTTTTGCTATTTATTTGCCCTTGTTTTTCCTACAGCCCCAGTGCTTCCTGGTGCTTATCAAACCTCTCCAACTCAAGGTTTTGGATACATGCAACAGACAAGTATGTCCTCTATGAGGTCAATGCACTCTCCACTTGCACACTCTCCTTCACAGAGTATGGTGAGTATTATATCATTTTTATATGAGTTTCTACACTCATATATTCTAAGTATATTCTCTTGATCATGCATAGTTTAAAGTTTAAGTTACAGCCCATTGGTAATAGGTACCTTATTAGGTAATTATGGTGACCTTGTGGCCAGGCTATGGACATTCAGTTATTTGCATATATGAGCTTTTACACAAGCCATTACTGATCTCTGTAGCTGTAGTTAGGTTCTGGCCCATTTCTGAGCAGCATCTTAGCAGCTTTCCAGCATTTAATGTAAACTCAGGGCCATTGCTTCATGTTTACATTCAAATTTACATTCCTCCAGGAAATTCAAAGGCACATTTCATGTGAATAAAAATAATTTTTGTAAAGGAAAAATGCTACAAGCAAGCAGTCAAAGTGACACTAAACTCAGGAGTGAAATCCTAAAAATGCATTCAAGTACCTCAACTATTTACAAAAATGTATCTTATTTGTGTATCACTCGGCTGTAGATCCTCAAATCGTCTCTGAATTGATACTGGCACTGTCCTTCCTTCTGGAGGGGGGCTACTTTTACAACACACAGAGGGACCATGGAGAAAAAAAGTAGCCACCCTCCAGAAGGAAGGACAGTGCCAGTATCAATTCAGAGACGATTTGAGGATCTACAGCCGAGTGATACACAAATAAGATACATTTTTGTAAATAGTTGAGGTACTTGAATGTATTTTTAAGATGTAACTCCAGAGTTTAATGCCATTTAAAATACTTGATTTTTCCGGTGGTCTCTCTAAGTTAAACAGACATGTGGAAAAGGTAGGCCTTATTTTCTTTTGTTTGTAACTTTGGGTGTCTACATGACAGGGGAGTAGAAAGATGGGTAGGAGAGATTGATGATGTGCAATCTGATTAAAGTACTTTGTCTGGTCTGATCTTTGGATGGCTCAGTGACAAGGCGGTTTGGGGAAGTTTTCACAATTAGCTGTTTCAGATTAGCTGGTTGTTCCAATGCCAAAATGCAGTTCTGGGAACATTTCTCAAAGTCTTTTGTCTTTTTGCAGGAAGGGATGGAGTTCTTTTGCAATTTTGCTTAAAACTTCCTGCCGTGTTTTAGGTGAACGCCAGTGAGACACATATCTCCTTCCTAATTTGTTTATATTGTAAAAGACTGGTTCATAATAGTGATTAACTTCATAATATTAACAAAAATAATAACATATCTTCTCTGATTACACATTCGGATTAAATACATTATTGCGATTATATACCTGATACTGAACTCATTCATTTATAAAAGATCAGTCTGCAAGATAAAGTCTTCAGCGTAAGCAGAAAATCATAAAGCAAACAGCAAAACAGTAAATCTTGTTGTAGGTTTTTTATCACCATCTAGTGGCCATCACGTACATATTACGGAGTTCTCACTACTAGCTGCCATCCTTCTTCTTAGCAGGGACCATCATTCATATAAGCAATTATTGCAACTGATAAACATTTTGTTATGTAGATAGGTTTAAAAAAAGTCATATGTCCATTGGGGCATATTGGGAAAAGTGAAGGGGGGGGCGCCGGCCGAAAATGGCACTTTCGGCTAAATGCCGACAGTGACATTTTCCAATGCTGAAGACTTTTCATAGCTTCTCCAAGCCAATTCTTTAGTTGCGTTGAATGTCAGGAAGATACTCCAATATTTATATCCACACAGGTATCACAGATACTCATCAGAACTGAAGAAGTGGCTTGTAGAAGCTACAAAACATCTTCAGCATTACAGAACAAGTCCAGTTGGATGTAACTAACTACCACAAGCTATACCATGACCTGGATCAATGAGAACCTTCACAGACACATGGTCCAATTTGCTCTAAAAAGGAAAATAATTCCTATGTTATCCCCAAATACAATATATGGAAGTCTATTCTACATTTTCACAGTTCTTATTGTATAGAAGGATACACTGCACAGTTAGAAGAGTGACACCAAACTCACTATTACATCTTTGAACCTTCCTGTGTTACTTGCCTGCTCATTGGACTGTGAGATATCATTTTTACATAGGTGGGATCCTCCCTTTGCTCCTCTGCTCTTGTAAATTGCCTACAACTTATGCAGCCCCCAGTGCCTGCACACATGTTAGACTAATAGTATTGTCAATGCAAATGTTATGGAATGGCTCACAAGCAGTATATCAACGTGTATCAAAATCCCAAAACCTTTATTTTAGTTTTGGATGGAGCCATGAAGAGTTAGAACCTCTGCCAGGTTTGATTGTTTTCAGTGCCCCTGCTGGGAAGATTCCTCTCTTTGTATCCTAGTGGTCACTGTCACCAAGTATGAACGTGAGGGAAGATCCAAAATTTGAGGAGAAATCTTCCAATGGGGACACTTGTACCAATGACCACTGTCTAAAAAGAAGGTTTTTTTGCTTTACTATGAAGAGAATTCATCTTACTTCCTGTTGTTTCTTTAGGACAGGAATGGCAGGAAAATCTTCCCAGATGGCAATAATTAAAAAAAAAAAAAGTTTTGCCTTTTTAAATATTTTAACCACTTGAGCCCTTTTTGTTGCTAAATCCCTAATGCATTTTCCTGTAATTTTTCCCAGTGCAGCATTTAAGTAATTTACACACCACCATATATTTACCCTAAAATAGAAACAGCAAAGTAGTTAAAATGATACCACATTAGTGTGACTTTTATGTAACATTTCAGATTAGTAAAGCTCACAGTGAACATACATGGAACCATCATATTTACATTGGCTTCTACAGTATGCTCCTATCAAGCGATCTGTAGAGCCATTGGAAGCCCAGAAGCTGATCATTTTAGCTCCTTGTCTTAGCGCTAGACACCGGCTGACAGCTAATGGCTTTGGCCCCAGTGCCAGGGTGGGCAAGAGCTGCTGAGCCTGGGTGCTGTTTAAAGAAGCACTGGGACAAACAGCCACTGCCCCAACACCATCTTAAAATGGTGTGCGGGACTCCAGTGGTTAAAAGCTTGGTTTAGTTTGAATGTCCGCACACCATCACAAACTTGTCCCATGTATCAGTCAGCCTGTACAGTCAAGAAAAAGAACAAATATTAGGGCCATTTAGTAATAGTAGCCCCAATGGTGAACCCCCCATTGTTCTGGTCTTATATGGTCTGGATTTGCTGAAGAAATAGTTTTAAAAAAGCGCAAATTTTTCAGGTTTCTTTCTTCTAGATATACTTCAAAAATACATGCAATTATTTTTTTTAATGAGCACATTGTTAAAATAAAAGGTGTATGTTTTTTTGTTTTCCTGGAACTCCTCTTTAAACATCTCACTCAGGAAGTCTGCGGCTTGTTAGTTTAGTATACTGTTGCGGTTAATGAGGTTTTGTGAATAAAAAAAAAAAATCATTCTTTTATTGCCTCCCATTCAGAGAACATACAGAGCCATGTACGACTACAGCGCTCAAGATGAAGACGAAGTTTCCTTTAGGGACGGTGACTATATTGTTAACGTGCAGCCCATCGATGAAGGATGGATGTATGGAACTGTGCAGAGAACAGGGAAGGCGGGAATGCTTCCAGCCAATTACATCGAGCCCGTTAACTGAGAGCCGTGCCCTGCCGCTCGTTTCCAACAACGAGCAGCGCTTTTATTTGTGAGGATCATGAATTGTTTATTGACGATCATTGTTTTAAAACTTTCCAAATTACCTTTAAGCTTACATGCTTATTTTTTTAAGCACTAGCATAAAATTCTAGAAGGAACATTTAAATTGCGGCATAAAAATCTTACACACAAAAAAACCCACTTAGATAAAAGCTGTGCTGCTTATACACCCGCGAGATGCGGACATAAAAAAAAAAAGACAAAAGCCTGTAGCGGTAGCGGAGTGTCCTACTGAATTATTTAATGGGATTTTAGAAGGTTTTTATTTCTTTCAAACACAAAAATACTTTCCTACTTTTAACTCAGAGGGCTGTTATGTGCTGACAATCTTGATTATAGCAGGGGCAACATATAAATTGGAAAGCATTGATAATCTTATTCTGCGGCTTTTGCTATACTCTGATCTACTTGCAAGGTGTGCATCATTTAATACTGCACTTATATTACAAGCAATCTAACCTCTCTATTATTTTACTTCTAATTTAACGCTAAAAACAATTAGTTTAATAATATTTTTTAAATGTAATTTTAATAACGTTTTGTAAGTGTTTTCACTTCCTTTTAAAGAACGTCACATGGCTGAATAAGAAAAAGTTAGAGTGAGATAAAGATCAACATGTTTGTCATTGTCACTTGTAGGTTTGGTTTTTGACCTTCTTTCTCACGCCTCTGCCTTGCAACATAAGATTTTCCAAAACTAAAAAAATGACTCATGCAGGGCCGTCTCTATATTGAGGCAGTTGCCTCAGGCAGCATTTCACCGGGAAGCTGCCAGGTGGTGGTGGTAGTCGTGGTGGGGGAGGCTTGGCCATTCACAGCTTCCCAGGTTGCTAAGAACTCTTCGCAACCTATGATGCTCTGTGCGGTGCGGCTGCCCACCCAGCTTACTGACATCACCAGTTGCCAGGAGCTGAGCGAGACGCTCCGGCTTGCATCCTGTCAAACTCCTGGCAACCCGTGACGTCAGTGAGCTGGGTGGGACATCAGACAGAGCTGCTGACAAATCAGCACAACAACTGCGTATCACCATAAACCCCTTCCCACTGCCACCATGGCCATTCCCTGGCAGCACACCCCATTACCCCCTTCCAATGGATTGGCCATTGGTCTTCGAGAGAACACAGACCACCAATTAGAAATATCCACCTTTCCACGTTCTTTGAAAGTAGAAGTAATAATCCTTGAGATGCCAGGCTGAAGTTTCCTGACCATAAAACCAGTACTATGGAGAAAACCATAAGAGTGGTAGTATGACAACATACAGGAATTGTAAAACTTATTTTAAACACAATCAGTATTTTCAAGAGGTGATTGGATACATCTGAAGGGAAAGTAGAAAACATGTTTAATGTATTATTTTGTCTTTCGGCTGCTATGAGCCAAAGCAGTGAATTAATCCCATCTATAAATAATACAAATTACTCATCTTCTTCCCTCATATCGCATTGGCTATTGGAGTATCTCTTGTACCTAGTAGGAACTAAGATATCTGGAAGAAGAAGGCTATACCTTGCTGGTGCCCTAAAGAACTGTAATACACTAGTGACTAAATGCTACCAACATAACAGAATAATTTATTGGTGTGAACTTCCCCATTACCATTTGACACAAGTTAATTAATTCTTGTGGTTCAAAGAATTTGTTTTACTATTTTGTTCTTCTAGAACAGTCTGTCTCCAGGATTTTTCATATAGGTTAGGCGTGACAGTAAAGGATTGAACTAGACCAGAACAAATGGGTGCCAACAACACATGCCATAAAAAGTAAATACAAAATGTTTTAAAACTGATATAAAAATACAATAAAATAAACAATACATATATTTCTAATGTGCTAAGACACCTTATAATGGTCGTGTGTCTTTAAAAGCAATATTTTATTTCCATGTAGCATTTAGCAAGTTTAGTAACCCATTGGTTCATGGACAGCTCAGTGAGGTCTCCCAACCATAGTTCCTAGGTCTTCTCACCATGTAGTTTTGATGTTTCCATCCGTCTCATGGACATATTATTCCTTTACATAAAAAAGTGAATGTAGAACCCAACAGGGAGTGTAAGAAGACCCCGTTGTAATAGCCATACTAGCATTTTAAACCTGGGACTTTAGAGATCTCAATGCTGGAACCCTCCTTATAAAAATGAGGTGGACTGCGTCGTTCTCTCAGAATGGGTTAGCAGAGGAAAAAAAAGTTTTATTTTTATATTTTTGCATCTTCTTTAGATATTTTCCCAGTTTCAGGCAAAGTTACTTTATGTCAGTTAATACATCTGAGAGGTTTGATTCTCTTTACAGAATCAGGGACATGTGTTATAATTAAACAATATTATAATAAACCTAGATCCAGTTTTACCTTCACAGGGGTTATATGAAGAGGTTCAGGCTATGATTGACCAAGGAGCCAACTTCTGGGCTTTCTGGACTCACAAGTGTAACTTTGCTTATTCCAGGTCAGAAATGATTGTGGTCTACAATGGTTTCCCCCATGTTTCAGTCACAATGGGTTTCCTTTAAAGGCACAGGGTGGGACTTAGAAATGTGAGTGTAAAAATACTGCCTTGACTGTTACACCAGCCAAAAGACTCAAATTATATTAAGCGGTGCAGACATAATCTAGCCAATGGCACTATGGAGAAGTTCTGCTGTCATGGCTTGTGTTTCCACAAAACCCACTGTGAAGGTAGTTTCTAGGTAGACATTTTCTTTAACATGATTAAAGCTGGCAATGCACGTTAGAACCTGTTCAGTCTCCTTTAGATTTGGTAACAATTATGTCAAATTATGCAGTACCAGGGTCCACATTACTGGATATTAATTTAATGGACTATTTAGGCCCTCCCAGTACCTTATTATTGGGGAATGTAATCAATGTTGTACAGAGACTCTACAATCAGATTGTAAGATGTTTGGCTACATTAACTTTTTAAAGAAAACCCGTGCTTCGATAATGCATCATATGCACTTTACGGCCAACCTCTGCAGAAATTTATACCCACCTTACCTTCACTCCCCCACCACTACATTCACCATTGGAAGGTAAGAGAGGAAGTCACGTGTCAAGTGGATTCTAGTCGGAGCTTTGACAGGACTGAGAAATCTCTCTCTGGCTCCATGTGATAGAGCTAAGGGCATTAGTGGCCACTCACCAAGCACCATCACTGTCGCATGGGAGCAAGCGGAAGGCTGCCATTAGGTTCTAGGCATTGGAGTGGTGGGGGAACAAAGTAAAGACGAGCATATGCTGCAAAATGAACTTGTTCCTGGTGCGATGACAAACACCTATTCCATTCCTGTTTTTAAAAAGTTATCCTCAAAAACACAGAAAAATAAAGCACAAGGCATATTTATCATACCCACCAAAATTCAATAGCCACTTTCTATTGCTGTGCTGCTTTAAATCTACTTGAGCTTTAAAACATGAATGATACTACTGGCTATCTGTGTAATTGCTTAGCAGCTAACAAAGAAATATAAACACTGGAATACTTCCTTGAATGTCCCAGTTCAATGGAGTAAAGTAAGCGTATCGGAATATATTGTGATGTTATTAGTATTGCTGATATAGGGAATCTTTGGCTCTCTGGGAGTTCTAAGGTGACGGGTACCAGGATGCTGACATGTCATGTATATGATACACCATGGACTATGTAGCAATTAGTGACACTACTAGACTCTTAGGCAGAAAACATTATTATACAGACTATATCTGGGAGGTGGTGGTGAATGATGTATTATTTTTAATAAAACTAAAGCCACTTTATATGCAGTTTAGAAACAGCAGCAAGAAATAAACTGTGGTATCTAGACAATCTTTTGCTAACGTGTATTATTAAAAACCGGTAAACCAACTGCAATTAAACTTGTGTTTATTATTATTTGCATATATAGCCATTTAAGGAGGGGAAATTATCATTCCTTAGAGGATAAGTGCACTTTGGTAGATCCTTTTAAAGAGACCCTGTCACATTGAAAAAAGCAAGCATGAACCTGTAAAGAAGAAACAGAATGCTTACCTCTCCTTCTGCCCGTGCTGCTGAACACTGCTCTGATCCTGAGCAATCGTCCCCTGAAGTCCACAGGCAAACAAACTTCTGAGAGTGTTGATCTCCATGGTTCCCTATAACGCTTTCTGGTTCCTCCTGCTGACATCCATGTCACCACTGTCTCCTGCTGTGAATGCTGTATTGCAGTCCTTGAATTGTCCATAGCTGCACCAAACAGATGGGATCTGTGTTATCTCTTCTTCGGTAGTATGAAATGTTCATGAGCTGTGAGGCCCCATTCACACCTAGGCGGTTGCGGATCAGTGCGGTTTCCACGCTGATTTTAAAAGGACATGTCTTGGAAGTTTTGAATTGCGTTTCAGAGCTGAAATGCGATTTAAAATACCCCAAACCGTGTTAAACAGCGTGGTTCCGTTGAAAGCAGTATGGAAACCGCACTGATCAGCACGGCAAAAAAGGGTCAGGGAGTACTTCGGTTTGGGGGTGGTTCGGATCGCGCTGAGCCGTGCGGTCACATGAACTGTCTCCAACGTATGGGATCGTTCATGTCAGCGGATTCGCTTGGCCAAACCCGCATGGCCGAACCGCCCTGGTATGAACGCGGCCTAAAACAGACTCTGTTGATTAATAACTGGTCTATGAGAGTTCACAGACCAGAAACTGTTCATGCAAGTTTTATATTTTTGCTACTTAGCAGCTGTCTCAGGAAGCAGTGGCAATAATCAGTGATGTGCAAAGAAATACAATTTAAGGTGAGGGATCGGATAAAAACCTGAATCCTGCAAGAAATGGTATCTACTATCAAGAGATTTAAGATGCGATTGGATAAACCATTGGATGATGCAGAACATTAATTTACTCCTTCATTAGTTTCTTGCCATTTCTAGGAAGTAAATACAAGAGGATGGATTCAAAAATATGTCTGGTACTGCTGGGTGAATTGGACCATGTAGCCAAAATGTGCAAAGCAGGCATGAGTGCCATGCCACTGTTTAAGAGTCCAACATTTTTGGATCAAGGAAGTCCAAATAAAATTCAAATTGCATAATCAAACAGGTTTGAGAGGCCTTGAGATAGCACCCTCCCCCAACATCCGAAATGTTGCTATTTCCATGTGACAAATAATGTTC